TAAACAGCCAACCTATTGTTTATAGTTTGAAGTTAAAAAGTTCAACGCCGTAGTTTGAAGTGTTTTTTATTTATTTATATTTACAGGATTGTTTAAACAGCTAATACATTGTTCAATTTGAAGAAGAAAAATGGCCTTGGCATAAAAATTAAAAATAAAGCTTTTTTGTTTCAATCATTGTTTTGTGCTTGTGTGTCAAAACTCTGCAGATGGTCGTAGAGTTTCTGACGGTTTACCACACGGTAGCTGCACTATGGGTCAATACTCATGTGTTCTATTTGCAGCGAACTTGACACCTCGGTGTCCCACAGACAGCGAACTCATCTGGGCCGGCTCACACTGAGGGAGAGGACGGCATTGCAGCACAGACATGTCAGAAGTCCTAACTCATGACTCACCGAGGAAATTCAATCAAGCGAAAGCTGGAAATGGGAGTGTGGACACACAAAGCAACACGAGGTCCGATAGTACACATGGTGCTTTGTTATCGGAGGAAGTGCTTGACGCGACAACAGCTCATGTACGTTCAGTAACGAGCAGGTTGTCTCGCGCTTTTTGTTAGCTTTGGCTTTTTGGAATTCTCAACATAACGGAGGATGGATTTTAAAACGTCTCTTTAATGAGCTCCATTCATTTAAACCAACGTCCGACCTACTCGACAGCTCCAGAGCCTCCATTAGCATCTCCACAGGTTCCAATGGTCACAAATGTCCAATAAAAGCTTCTCAAATTAAAACATGTAATTAAAATGTTTAAGAGATTACTAGATCGAAACCTTTCCACGCGAGAGAAATCCAACAAAAGTTTGATCTCCGAATGCCAGCAGCTATCAGAGCTGCAGGTCCTTGAGTTCAAAAGTATCTTTAACTGCTACTTTTTAAAGCTTCGGGAGGAGAAGGTCAGTCATAAGGAATGCAGAGTCACAGATGAGACAAGAAGATAGAAAGAAAGCAGCACTTTGTCAAGAAGTGAACCAGGCAGCACACAGTGTGTTTGATCAGCTGATTGGGGTCAGCTGGGGACATGGCCTCCACACATCTGGGTCAGGTATGAGACAGATGTGTTCCCAGCCCGGCTAGAAAGAACAGAGGCAGCCCCCTCCCCCCGGTCCTCCACGTGAATCATTCTCAGACACCATAAGCCTGAGTGGACCGCGTTTCGAGGGAGGGGCCGACAAGGGATGTTGCTTAGCAACCGGGAACGTCTTTATGGCAGTAAAAAGAATAATAGAATACGTGCATCAAAGCAAAGGAAAAGGCACCGCACACGAGATGAGCCGTTAATAACAAACCACTTTTGAGGAGTCAGAGAAGCTGAAATGGGACCAGGAGCCTTCTGCAGTTCAAGTAGCAGTTCCACATGAAGTACTTCATGCAGTACTCCATGTATTAGTGGAAGACACAGGGGGATTCAGTTCCGGGCAGAAAGAGGCACACTGCGTCTGAGACAATAAGCTTTTTCAAAAGGTTTTGGCAACACTTTGCATTTCCTGTTTCAACATAGCAACAACATCCCGGGCCCCTTGAAGAAACGCTGAGCGGGGGAACCGGGTGTGGACCCCGGCCGGCCCGTTGGTTCCTCAGACCAGGAGCCAGGAGTTTTGAAGGTAACGCGCTACGTGCTAACCAGCCAACCGAGAGGGAATCAGGCACACGGGCGACACCCTTCATTCTCCCCTTCCGGACTCCCAGCACCACGTCCACTAAACCACAGCAGAACCTACAAATATGCTGCAAGTCTAAAAGCAGCTCTCGAGTCTCAGACCTCGACCAGACGACGTGACGGAGGAGCGCCGCCAAAATGAAACACGTGGCTTCACTGGAGACGAACCGTAAGCACACAGGAATCATTTCTCCTGACAACTACAATAACAAGTCTGATACATCAGGAACAAACTGTTGAAATAATGACATAACTAATTGGTAATGTATTAGTTTCGCTCTACTTCAGTTGGTAGTTCTGTTTAACATTTTATCCATTTACAGAAAAGCAACAAATACTCAAATCCAAACTAACTAACACTACAATCCCATCAGCCACTTTGAAAGCCGGAATCCTTCAGATGGCCTTTTGGTTTTTTAAGGGTCCAGCTGTTCACACGTGGATGCGTTTTGTTAGCTCTGCTTTGTTTCTTTGAAACAATGTCCTTGTCTCCTACAGACTTTTACAGATAAGATCATTATCTCACAGCAGCGAGTTATCTGCTTAACGGTGCGCCGTCAACAAACACATTCTGATGACGGGCTGAACTCGTCTTCACTGGCAGCTGTTGGGCTGTTAAACTCTGAATGGAAGAATTCTAAGATTCTCTTATTGATACTGAAGGATCAAGATTTCTATCTCAGTAAGATGGACACGTTAGGCAAAGACTGAACCGTATAGTAGTAAACTTTTTAAAGCAGATCAGTCACGTGGGAGTTGGGAGTTCATCGAGGAAGAATTTAGAGTAAGATCTGAGGTTATCAAACCGGCCTTTACTGATTTTGACTACTGACTACTGGTTTTTAAAACCCGGTTTCAAACAGTAAGTGGGAGTAAATGAGCGATCGGCCTCCACCTTTCCCAAATAACAGTCAGAGAAAGACAAATAAAAGCACCAGCCTGGGAAAGTTCCAGTCTACATCCGGAGGCCGGGTTCGGTTACTGTTCTCAGGAGACTCGGATGTGAGACGGTGACACGTTAAAAGTCAACTCATCATCAAAACGTCTCTTCGTGGACAATTTGTGACTTAATCAAAGCCCGCCAGCTAATGTCCTTGTTTGTTCTGCAAACAAAAGAAGAAGTTATGTGACTATCTTGCCGAAGCCGATAGAAGAGTTTACACGCGTAGGCGCGTGTAGCAGGAAGCGGTTAACACTGACGCCGGCATTGAGAACAGGAGGTTATCTTCTTGATCCGTGTGATCGTCCTGTGGTCATGTGTTGCATAAACAGGTCCGGACATCGGTCACCACCCCAAAAAACCCGCAGTGACTACTGATCCCGGCGCTGAAGAAAAGGAACGAGAGTCCATGCAAAGAAAGTGGCTTTAAACTTTCTTTCCTGCCTCACTTTAACGAAATGATACAGAGCAGCTTTAAAAGCAGCATGATTTCCCTCTCGTAAAACAAGCAGCCAGCTCGGCCAGTGGTCGGAGAAAGGACTTTGGTAAGCTATAAGCGAGCGGAACGTGGTAATTAACGGTATCACACGACGCTTGGTACAGAGTATCCGGGCTAACGTCTCCCTGCTAGCATACCAATGTTAGCAAACAGTTAGCTAACTTAGCATTAGCTACCCAGGTTTCTGACAAAGTTGCCAGGTTACCCAGTAGTCTAATGCGTACCAAAGGTCCATTGGTTGGCAAGTGTTGTTGCTAATGCCTACATGTATTAACTTGGCTAATCCAGAAGCATCATACTATCGCAGAACCTCGTTAATAAACTGCGGATTTTACGGTGTTATAAACACACTATTAATCACCGACAACAAGTCAAGCAGATGCTGTGACAATGTGAGACAACGGTGTCCTCGCATCACTTTGGCTGAAATGTATTGGACAAAAACATAATTAATGGTGGTAAACGTTTCTTCTGATAATCTATTAAACGCTGCTGCAGTCAACGGTAACTTTGAAGACGAGACACACGAAGGGCAGTTTGTAAAGAAGCTAACCACCATTCGTGGCATTGCATCGCGCCGAAGTGAACAGTGGTTCCCGAGGACTCTGAATATAGATGTAATGTTTTTCTACAGTTTGCAACTTATGAAGCATAAGACGATAGCTCATTAATTACTCAATCTATTACAGGCAACTGGCGTGACGTTCGCTGCTAGCGGGCTGGCTAGCAGCGCTACCATTAGCTGGGTTTCCGTCAAGCAGGCACACCCTGCCCGTTTCCACCGGAAAACACGTCTTCCCGTCCCGCTAACGTACCTCTTTCCTGTCCTGCAGACACTCCAGCACCGCCAGGTTGTTGTTCCACGAGTGTTTAGGGCAAAGCCGGGTCAGGTCCTCCCTGCACACCCCTTCCTCGGCCAACTTCCAGCCGGTGGAGCGCCTCCGAGGCAGCGAGGCCCCGGCTCCCGGGATCCCCGCTGCCGGCCCCGGACCTCCGGCAGGCTTCAGCGGAAGATCAGCATTAGCTGCGACTTTGGCGATAACGTTATTTTGTCCTCGAATTGGGTGCAAAGAGGAGAAGATGCAGATCGAGAGCAGGAGAAGAGGAACACGTATACAGTCCGCCATCTTCACGGATCCAGTCAGCCTGCTGCTGCGTTCAGGGGCCGTGGGAGGAATGAGCACAACGAGCAAAGTTGCAGACGATTTTTTTTCCTTCTTCCGAGGATGGCAATGGACAGCTCATAAATAATGCATGAGGGTTCAAGATAAGCACGAGGGTGAAATGTGACTATGTAGTGTAATAAAAATCTTTCGCCATGTAACCAAAGAAATCGGAGTACTAGATCAGTTATATACTTATACTTATTATATATGTATATAACAACTAAGCATCCCATGATTAATCCAATTTGTTTTGGTTTCATGCTGCTTTTAAAAAAGCCCAAAGTTCGCATTAAAAAAGCTGTTGAATATTTTGAAAGACGTTCATTTAGTCAGAGGGTTTCTTTAATTAGAAAAACAAGTGTATAGGAAGTGTAGCATCACTGTTTCTCAAAATTCTCAAATGTTTAATGTTTAATCACATGACGATCAGTTGTTTAGTTAATTGGTAATGAGACTTTCATGTCTTAAGTCTACCATGTTGCTACGGAGGCCCAGAAAGGACAAACCAGTTATTTAACATTCCCTGAAGGCACCGTAGTTTGGCTGCACGCTTCTGAAACTACAATTAAATGGTCTATTGACGCGAACAGGACATTTTATAAATTTGAATAAGTGTGGATAAAAGGTTCCCAATGTTGAATGAAGGCATGAATAAATATTAGTTCCAATATACCAACTCACCACCAGATGTCCCCAAATCCTTCAAGGTCCCTTAAATGAAATTACTTAAAAATTGAAGAAAAAAAACTTTTATTTCCCAAAAACATTGTCCATAATGACATCAAACCTTCAAACATTTCTTCCAATGTCCTCGATTCCTCATCTTTTCTAAAAAAAGAAACTTTAACACCAAACACTTGACTCCGAATACTTTCATTAAAAATAACAAATAACCTTTATTAACTTTGAAGTTGTACACAAAGAATCCGTAGCAAATATACATATATACACACACAACTTCATTTAGAACTTGAGGAAAGTGAAAATGTAGAACAAACCGCAGTCCTTTGGCACTTAATGTTCGGTTCAGTTTAAAAAGTCTTTCAACGAACCGTGAGAGGAATCTGGCGCGGATGTGACAAATGTTTACCACACAATGTTTACCAACTTTCATTTGAATTTAAATCAAAAAGAATCCAGATGACTTAAATGTTTTACCTCATTGACCTTTGACCTTCAGCTGTTTCAATCAGCCGCAAACGGCCAGCATTTAGAAATTCTTTCATTCAGTCTCTGTCGAAGTGGAACGCCGGGACATCACAGACTTGTTGAAAAATGGTCTTTGCATTTAATAAAAAAAGAAATAAAGGAATAAACAATGTCTCATCATTTATCACTACAGAAACCCTGAAAGCAAAAAAGGTGGGAAAAGAAAAAAAGGTTTCTTTGATAAAAGCTTCAGAGTTGCTTCACATGTTTTACCGTCAGTGAAACAGGTTGAAAAACTTTTGCGCAAAGCGAGACAATTTCTTTGTTTATTGTTGGAATTCTGATTTCAGCCACTGAAGAGTCCAAAAAGGCGTAAAAACATTCACATTTTCTTCTGGGTGAGTTTCAGCATAACTAATAGCTCGAGGGATTAGTTTTGTTTTTATCTACTTTCAAGAGCAGCAATTTCATTTCTCATAGTTTGAAAATCTATCGCACCAGGAGACTAATCTGACATTTCATCGTTAGCGATGTCCAGTAATGTGTATTGTTTAAATGCAGACGCACAATAGAAGCAAACCAGTGACTATTTTTGTTAGAATATCTGCAGACGTTTCAGCGTCTCTTGTGATCAAACTCACTATTTTCATTTGTTTAGACTAGAAGGTAAAAAATACGTGACGACCTTCCATAAAAAAAGAGGATGTGATGAAAAACGTTTAGCCACATTCTCACGCTTTGTTCCAATCGAGAAGATGACGCGCGGCTCGACTGTGACCCATGATTTTCACACTTCACAGAAATGAATGCAGGTCAATCTTTAGGATAAATCTAAAGTATTGTCATAAAAGATGAAGTGATCTGCAGTCGAGTTAAAACACAAACACGCCAACAGGGTCTCATCAGCGGGTGAGACGAAGATCCGAACAGTTTGATCTTTGACCCGTGCAAACGCAATCCAGGCCGCGTCCGGCTTACTGTGCAGGTCAAAGGTCGCCGGTCGAGACGAAATGTTTGTTTCTTCCCAGTAATGGTCCGGATAAAAGGGGACGTTTTTATCTCCCGCTGCGACTGTGTGTCCTCTGCTATGTGTGTGTGCGTGTCCATAGTCCGGTATGAGGACGCAACGACGCGAGCGACAGTCCGTCCGTCCTCCTTCACTCCCACCTGTAGAGCTTCAGCATCTTCTCCGTCAGCGAGGCCAGGAAGTGCTCGCCGTTCACAGAGAACGGACTGATGCCCAACACCGGCAGGTCGGCCGGGAGCTTCTGGAGCAGAGAGCCGCTGCCCGCGTCCCACACCTGAGGTGGGGGGAGGGGGGGGGGTTATTCAGACACTTTGGAATCTCTCGTATGAAGAACAAACCATTAAAACACAAAATACACACACATACATATATATATATATATATATATATATTTTTTTTTTTTTGGGATTACCAGGTTGTTACTCAGTTACATCAGTACTTTCATTAGTACCATCCAGCCCCCCCCCCGATCTCCCACACAAAATGGACCCACCATAGTGGAGTTGGATGCCTCGTCCCCGGCGGCGACCAGGGTCCCGCCCCCTTGAGGACTCTTGAACACGGCGTTCTTGGTGAGCACCTTGCAGGACGAGCCGGCGCCGAACGTCTGCACGGGAGAGTATGAGCAGCTGGGGAGCTGGGCGGAGTCCTGCTGGGGGGTCCGGGTCAGCGCCATCAGGACGCAGCGCAGTCTCGGGTGGGAGCGCCCTGCGGGGTGGGGAGGACACAGGACATTTTAACCTTTGACCTGGAAGGAGGTTTATGACGAGCAGCGAGGAGGACCGGCATGGCGGTGCGCGCGGCGCCTCTCACCCGGCCTGTAGGTGACCAGGCAGTGGCGGCTCTCCGTCTCCACCTGGATGTCGGTGCAGCCGGTGGACTCCAGCGGCAGCGCATGCGGCCGGTACGTGGCCTCGTTGACCTGCTCCCAGAAGCAGGCGGCCTCCAGGGAGCCGGCGATCAGCCCGCCGCAGGGGAACGAGCTGGACGCCGCCCGCGGGACGTAGCACAGCGACGCCACGGGACACCTGGCGGAGACGCCGAGAAGGGAGCGGGGGTTTAACGTGATGAAGACAAAATACGAGCTGAGGCGGATTGCTATCAGTACTCAACAGTTCAAGATGACATGCGACCTCTTGATTAAAAAGAAAGCCGACAAATAGGCTCAGCGAGGGGGCCGGCAGTTAGCCAACCAGAGCAAGGGGCGGGACTACGTAACAGCAATGGAGAACGCACCAGCACAACTGTGGGGGCCATTTAAAAGGTTTTCAGAAAAACAAAGAATTCACTAGTAAAAGCACCGCTAACATGGTTAGATGCCTGTGTGTGCGTGCACGTGCGTGCGTGCGCGTACTTCGAGCGTAGTGGCTGCAGCTCCTGCACGTGCGTGCTGGTGTCTCGGGTGTCGTACACCAACACGGAGCCGTTGCTTAGACCCGCGTAGACGTAGTTGCTGTTGTCCAGACACCAGCAGCAGCTCCACACGGGCCTACCGGCGTTGTAGGTCTGGACCACCGTGTTGGTCAGCAGACTGAGGACGGACACACAATTATGTTTGATGTATTACAATGTGCTTAGAGATTGCACCATGGGGGCCAGTCCCTGCAGGATGACATCAGGGTACCTGGTCAGCTTGATGGTGTTGTCCAGGGCGGCCGACAGCAGCAGGCTGTCGTTCTGCTGGTTGAAGCACAGACCTCGGATCTGTTTGGCGTGGATAGGGACGTACTGACTCGTCTTCATGTTGGCCACGCTCACCTTCTTCACGCCGCAACCTGAAGGAGGGGGGGGGGGGGTTAAAAAGAAACACCTCACATGTTCGGTACCGTGGATGACATGACTGCAGTACTTGACACATTTTAGACACTAGAGAATCGGTTGAAGTGAAAGCTAAATAACTGGCAGTATGAGGAGGAGGCGTCGTCGTCGTCTCACCGGGTACCAGCGTGGCGTGAGGCGACGGCTGCGAGGCCAGCAGGCAGCCCAGAGCGCCGCAGTAGGACAGGACCCGGGAGCCTCCGGTCTGGGACACCAGCACCGCCTTGGAGAAGCCGTACTGGGACGCCCTGGAGCCGTCGGCCCGCGGGAACGGGCCGAGGAGGCCGGGGCCCGGGGAGGAGAGCGAGCTCCGGCCGGCCTGGGCCATCAGAGACCTCAGCTCCTACAGACACGGGGCAGGGAAGAGGTTTATCTACTTGACTACGAGAGGAAACGCACGAGTCCAGAAGGTCCCGCGCGCACAGCTATTGTTTACACATTCTAATGAAATCCACAACGCGACATCCCACAGGAATAAATAGAATGACACCACAAAGGTTCTACTTCTGCAGCTTTTTTTACCTTTGTTAATTTGTTTGGATATATTTTTATATTGTTGCTTTAACTGTTGATCATCTAAAGTTTCTTAGAATACCGTACTAAATAAATGTGTCACTTTAATGCACATTACACAAATAATAATGTGGCAATTGGCATGGTTCTTAAATATTCCGTTTATTAACTATTAGTATATGAAGTTTAAAAAAGGACAAATGTTATTAGAGAATAAAACTAATTTACTACAGAAAGGCGTTCATCAAAAGTTGCCAGTCTGCATGGTGATTCATTCCAACGGTTACCAATAAAACTCCTCCAGTGGGATCCAAGTGTGATGGAGGGAAGCGCCCTCGTCTATCTGACTTTTAAAAGGAGATTTATCAACACAGTATAATATTATTAAAAGTCTCCCCCACTTTAATTACAAACTAAAAGACAATTGTCCTCCGTACCTGCAGCTCTTGTTGTGCTTGTCCGTATTTATTGGTGACGACCTGCAGCTTCAGTTTGTACTCTGCTGATTCCAGTTCAGCCTTCCTCCGCAGAGACTGTTCCTGTTCCAGAGACCTGCACACGCACACAGGTTAAAAACAGCATTCAGTTATTGCCAGCAGACTAAAATAAAACATTTAAACAGATCTTAATATCAAATTGAAATATTCTTCATGCGAGGCCACACGAGTCCACATGAGGAGACCAATGGGGTCGCTGGTTTCTTTTATCATCCAGGCGTTAAACAGCTGGACGCTTTGGTCGCTCTACTCATCAACACACTGTCGTCGGACTCGCTGGGTAGTAATTAACCAATGCAGCGTTCATCTTTTAAACAACGCAACGTTGGGATCGCTCACTTCTTTAAGGTCTCCTGCTCAGAGTTGTCGAGCGCTCTCAGCTTGGGAGCGTACAGCAGCACGATGTCCGAACGCTTCGCCTTCTTGTTGCACTAAAGAGGAAGCAAACGCACACAAATCCAGATTAGCGAGAGAGAGAGTGTGTGTGTGTGTGTGTGTGTGTGTGTGGTCACTGACCTGTGGGCATTTGCCGGACGAACCCTGAGCTACCAACCAGCGCTGGATGCAGGTGAAGCCGAAGAGGTGACCGCAGCGCAGGGCGGACGGCCGGTGCTCGCCCGCCGTGGTCCACGCCTCGAAGCAGATGGAGCAGACGTCGCCTTCCTCCGAAGTCTGACTCGTAGCGGAGGGAACCGGCTGGGGGGGCACATCATTTAGAAGCTGTGAAGGAAGTGACCCTATTGGGAGTCGGGACTGAGGAGGACAGACGCTGTATACGTCTCTGGGAGAGACCTGTCAATCGGTGTGTAGCCCCGCCCTAAAGAATCCCCTGCTTCATGTTTACAATGTTTACTGAGGGAATAAATAAAGAGAGAAGTAGTCATTTTCTCGTAGCCTTCTATGGGACCCATTTTACTTTGCAAATTCTGTGCATTGACAGCAGATTGGGTGTTGTATGATGATGGGAGACTACTATCAGGTTCGAAATCTAGAACTGCTTATGGAGAGACGTGTGCTGAGAGGTGCAATCGTCACCTGGACGTTCTGGTTTGGAGCTTCGGTCCCGTCGCCATCTGCAGCTGACCTGGAGTCTGCACACAGGAAGCCGGACTCTTAGAAGGCAACAGAGAGACTCAGCACTCAGCACGACGTGCACGCCGGTCAGACTCACCAGTCGGGGCGACCTCCGGTGGCTGCGTTGGTTGGACAGGCGCCGGGTCGATGGTTCCCGGAGCAGCGGGTGGGCCTTCCTCAGGCCCACCCTCCTCTTCGGACTCGCTGATCTCGGTGGTGCTGCCGGACTCCGGCTCTGCCCCACCTGCAGCCGGCACCCGCAGCAGGAAGTCCGGGAAGCCCCTGGAGGACGCCGCGGTCTGGCTGGGGTAGTGCACCCTGAGGCCCTGCCTGCAGCAGCACACACGGGTTCATGCACGGCAGTTCCACACTGACATGAACATGTCACAAATATGGCCAGGTGGCATAATGACAGTAAATGATTCTCTGGGTACCTGAGTCTCCTCCGTATGCGCTGCGCTGCCGACGGTGCTGCCGCCGAGCTGCTCACCGCTCGCTGACTGAAGGCCCAGGTGGCAGGAAGCCGGGGGGGCGCACGCGCTGGCGTCCGCCCCCCTTCCTCGTCATCGTCATCATCCACCTCGGTGCTGCTGCTGCCGGAGTCCGAGATGACGTGCGGCGCGTCGGCATTCGTTGCCGCATTAACTGCCCGCTGCCTTGGGGCTCCTGCTGCCTGCACCTCCCCTGGGGAGTCCACCTCCATGGCCTCCATCTGCACGTCAGGGAAGTACACGGGTCAGGAGCTGAAACGCTGGTGTTGATTGTAACTTATAAGCGATGAACACATCACTCCTGATTGAGCTCCTTCCAGCGGCCCACAGACACTTTCAGAGTAGATACTACATTTTTACTTTTAACTCATAAAACTCATAACACTTACAGCAGTAAAATGCAACAGACACATTAATGCAGTGTAAATGTGAATCTAGAAACATAATTTATGCAACAGTCTGACACTGACAAAGAACATCTTGGTGTACAGTCAATACTTTACTGATGTAAGATTTGAATGACACTTTCATAGAGTGGTTTTAGTCCTTTTGATTAAGTATAGGGAACCTGTGCTCCAACTAGCTGCACAAAAACCAAGCTGCCCAACCTGTATGTCGTGCTAACTTGCCAGCTAACCAAGTGGTATACGGCCCCGCGACATACGGAAGCCTGTGGCGGTCAATTGTCGGCTAAATTGCCTTTAGTGGCTGAGCGACGAACAAGAGACCGAGGCCTACGGGGCCTCAGAGTAAAAACAGAAGCAGACAGAAAGCAACACGCGAAGCGGTTTTTTACTCAGGTCTGTAAGCAGCGTTATTGGGGGAAAACAATACAAGTAAAATAGTGACAATAATAATGCTCCGTTCTAGTCCCCTGGTAACCACGGACGGTTATGCTAAACTACAATTTGTGAATCTGTTTGATACATTGACTTATACATTTATTAAAATAAAAACATAATTGTTTTCTACTGTTTTTATTTTAAAATGTGCGTAAAACGGGTGGTAAGATGGTGTTTTGGTCGCAAGCGTGTCTAGCTAGCGGTTTAGCTAACGTTCCTCTGGTTGAAGCAGCAGTAGCAGCGCCCCTTGTTACCTGTATGAAAGTGACGGGTTAACGGCTACCGATCCCGCTCCAGAGGACCCTGCAGGGTAACAACATGGCCCCACGGCAAAGACACGAATCAAACGGGTACTCGGGTGAACCGTTAAAGGGGTTAGCGGGGTTACTTTGCAGCAGAGGAAATGCACTGAGGACCCCGCGGTCAGGGATCGAATCTCCCGGCGCCATAGCCCGCTCTGCCCCGCCCCATCCTGTCGTGACGTCACCGCCGAAGAGCTTGTGTTGAGAAGATGAATCGCATCCTAGGCCATTAGGAACGGTTTGAAGTGGTCATTTGGATGTTACACAAATAAGAGGTTCATTTTGAGCATTTGAATTTAGATTGCCGTCTTCTCAGCGCGACTGACAAGACATGCCTGTCTTTTTCTTTGAGATTACGCATTAAATTACTCGATCTCTTGATAGGGGCATTCATACTGCACATGTCACTTTAACTGTAATTTTCCACTTTGTCGTCACTCGTCACATTGTTACTTGTTCGCTAGTAAACGTTATGCTTAATATTTTAAATGTTTAACTAACTTTATTCTCTTGTTTTATATTAACCCATAACCTTATTCTACTAACCCATTGCATTAGCATTTAATTTAACCTTATTTTATTACTTGTGCACTGATGTCTTGTTGTCTATTCAAACCGCTTAGCCTGCACACAGGGTCGCGGGGGGGGGGGGGGTGGAGGCTATCCCCGCCCACTTCGGGCGAGAGACTGGGGACACCCCTAAACAGTATAATAGTATAGCAGGGCTGACACAGAGACTAACAACCATTCACACTCACATCCACGGCAATCGGAGAGAACCCACGCAGACACGGGGAGAACGTGCAGACTCCACTGGGCGGAGTCGTACCCAGGACCTTCATGCTGTGAAGCGACGGTACTGACCACCACGCCACGTCAGGTAATGAAAATGTTACACCATTAAATTCTAAAATGTATTAGTGTTAAAATGTTAAGGTAAGTTCAACCAGAGGTATAACTACTCATTTTAGAATAGTATAATACTTGAATTCATTTGTTCCTTACTTTAGTGTTGCAGTAGGGATAGAGGATGTAGCCAGTGAGGAAATGTTGGAAATGTTTTTTTTTTGGGGGGGTTTTACCCGTGTTTTAGAAAGAATACGTTTACCCTTAGTGACACTCTGGTTTTTGCCCCAGACCCAGTGCCTCAAGGAGGCCCAAACCAGGTGGGAGTGGCCCAGGTGGAGAGAATGCAGCCCAGGCCTGAAGCACTGCTGCTTTGCTTGGTTTTGTTTTGTTCCTGTTTTGTGTCTCCCATTTGTTTCATTTTGTTCAGTCAGATTACGTTGTGGTAGTTTTTCTGTGTCTTGAACAAATCGTGATTTGTCCCCCAGAAGTTAATTTATACACTATTTATTTCTGTTTAGGAGTGCGTGGGGCTGGCAGCAGCGTGGCTACCCGGATGGTGGTGGGGCTGGTTGGACTGGGCCTTTCACTTTCTCCTCCCCTTTTTCTCAGTTGCATGTTTTTGATTTATATTGTTTTGTGTGAGCGTGGATGTGGCACTGGAGGGAGTGAGGGCCTTGCCCTAGAGCTTGTCCCCCCTCTTTTCCCCTTCTTAGCCCGCTGCAGCCTACGGCCCCAATCGAATCAAACTTGTTTATTAAAACAAAGTATTTCATTCTTTGACGACATTCCCAGAGTTGATAGGAGTTCTTGAAATTGATTTGTATCTTTTTGATGGTATTTTTAGAAACTCAAATAAATATTGTACTCTGGGGGAATATTGTTGCTTTGGTCTGTTTACACTTGTCATCTGTGGGTCCGTGGTGGATTAATTAATATCCCTACGGGACAATATCCGCCCCTCCGTACCTACCGGTGGTTACATTCATTTCTATACTACTGGGAGGCTTGGGAATTTCCCCTCCAGCATCAATTAGGTACCAAAACCTAAATTGAAATAGTTATTTTCATTACGGTGTATGAAACTAGAGCGAAAACCTTTTCTTATTTCAATGAGACCTTTTCAATTAAACAATATTTTGCTTCATTGCACTTTAACTCAGTCACTTTTCTGATATCCCTATCCTGGTTATGGTCTCCATCAGCAGATAATCAGAGGTCCTTCTGCCATCAAATTAATTAGTTTCATCACTTGTCAAAATTAGAACTCCGCAGAAAAATAAAAATCAACCAACACGAACACACTTTAAAAACATTGACATGGAAGATGTGAAATTGAAAGAATACGTGTTCAATATATCGGATGAGGTGAATGGTTTTCGAACAGAAAGGTGTACTGGATCAAATAAAAGGAGCAGAGGAGTTTTTTTTTACTGGTTTAATTCAGGGTATATTACAGCAGCCATGTTGAATCAAACACGTAATGGCAAAATATAATGATGCTATCATGTTTTATTGGATTAAATGTCTAAAGCTGATCATGAGTCCAATGGTGTGAAAGTTCCACGGCACCAGGTGTGTGGGAACAGACTGAAAACCTGTCCCCTTCGATCTGATGTGTCCCTGCAGAGACACATCAGATCCACGTCGCTGCGTTGAAGCAATTGAAGCGTTGAAGCGAGTAAATGTCTCTGGTCCTCGACCCTGAGAAGAAGGACCAGAGAGGCCGCTCCTCAGACGTGTATTCAGAGGCTCCCTCAGACAACATTGATTCACAAGAGACTTTATATCAATCAATAAGAGATACAAATCACCCCAAAGAAATGCAAAAAAGAGACAAATCAGAAACAAAAGGTGCTTGTATATCAAAACATAGTATTAGTCAGAAAAAATATGTATGGGAGTCAATGGTGAGCAATATCATTTTTATCCAGTTCAAACCATCATTTACTTAATGAACATCATGCAGTATTGATGAAGACTTTAAATTAAAGATTGAGACCATGAAGTCATGTTTACAATGTTTACTGAGGGAATAAATCAAGAGAGAAGTAGTCATTTTCTCAGACTTCTATGGGACCAGAGGAGTCGCCCCCTGCTGGTCACTATAGAGAATGCAGCTTTAACACATGAAGCTTTGACTTCACTCTAAAGAGCCGGAGTTTGCCGCCTCGTCTCACTTGCTCAATTTATGTTTAAATCACAGGAACAATTCAGACTCACCATTGACTGGGGGACATTTATATTTCCGAAAGTAGATAGTATATAGTATCTGATAGTATATTCAGTATCATCCATGTTACCGTGAAGTAACTATGCAAAATTTTAGCACAAGCTGTGGCCCCCTAACATCAAAAACGTAATTCGCTAAAAAAACAAAGCAAGGTTTGAACATTATGGGATGCTCAACCAGGAGAACAGGAATAGAGAAGTGTGGTTTTTAGCGTAAACCCTCCGTGTGGAGTACAAAGAAGTTTGTTCTTCTGAGGATGTCCATGACCAGAAGGCTCAGGGCCGGTCTATCTGGGCCACCACGCTGGGCAGTTTATCCACCAGCACTGCAGAGGAGAAACACATTTCAAAGTTACAAATAACATTATTCAAAATTTGTTTATCTATTTATTAATAAAAAGCGACCGTGCGTGCGTAGGGACCTTTCTGTAATTCTCACAATAGCAAAGTCACCCGGCAGCCCGCACTGGACGCCCCGGCAGGCCGGATTGGACACATGTGACATAGAGGATCAGGACTTAAGTGAGACTGGTCTAGTGGAAGAGAAGGACTTCATTCAGGAGGTCTGCTTTGCTCCAACTAGCACCAGATCAGGGTGCAGGCCGTCTGAGCACAGGATGTTTGGTCCGGTCTTATTGAGGACTCAACCCGTGTTTTCGCTCCGGTTTGACATGTGATTTATGGGTCGTCTCAGTCTCCCTGTTTTGATGTGTTTCTCAGCATTTTATAGACTTTAATCTTGGTCTTTTTCCATCACAACCACAACCTGCTAAAACTCTTTCAGAATGTAAAAGGTTTCCCCATCTCTCTGCTAAATCACCCAAATAAAACTACCAAACAACTTAATCGCGACCTTCAGGTGCTCCACTGAATCTTCGTCACTCCGATGAAGAGTCTAAACGGGCCAGAAGGAGAGTTACCTCCAGCAGACGGCCTGCAGAACTGGTCGTAGTCCCGGCAGTCGTCGATCAGTCTAGCCAGTTCTTCGGGACAATCGGAGGGGAGCTCCTCCTTGAATTTCTCATTGCACACTTTGTTATTGATCTCCTTGTTTGACCAACCTGACAAAAGAATGAGAAAGCATTAAAAACAGAACTAGAAGGCACAGATTCCATGGCTTTGTTCAGTTGGACATATATGATTAGAAGATAGAATCTCTCTCTGATATGTTCACCGTGTTTAAGAGGTTCAGTGCAGGTTGTAGGATACCCAAAATCAAATGATGTTTAGGTCACTCAAAGATCAACTGCAGAGGAGTCACATGAAGACAAAACCAGCGAGAGACCGGAAGTGACCTGATCAGTTAGGTACATGCCCGGCTTTCACAACAGAGCCAATAGCATCCCTCTGCAAGAATGTCATCAAACCAGATGTCTTACTGTTGTTAATCTCCAGCCAGCGGGCTGACACAACGGCTCCGTGGCTTTGCAAACGCAGCGCTGATATTTTACCTGTGATCTGACTAAATACAATCTACCAGAACGAGAGAAGTTGTTTGGCTGAATTCTTGCAGATATCACTTTGATCACAGTATCATTTGTATTACTGGTTTAAGTTAAACATTCTAGATAAAACAGGTAATAGACATTTTGGACACACATTTAGGTTCCCCTGAAGATCAACTGTAACAACTCCTGTAATCCTCCCCTGTGCCGTCATCCAGGGCCAACATTTGATTTAAGTTCAATGCTTTGTTTTGTGGCCGAGTCCCTTCAGAACCAACGACACTCGCGTCAGCCTCAGCTGCACTTTGCTTAATGCGAATTCATTTGAGTTAATGTCAGCAGGAATTTAAGTTGGATCATCTGATTTCTGTAACAGATAATATATTTTTGTGAGTGTGATGGACGCACAGACACACGTGCAGGCTGTATGGTGTTGAATAAAGGGTTAAGTGTTCTGTAGGTACGCACCATCAAAGGGTCTCCTGCCACTAGCAATTTCCCACATGACGATTCCAATGCTGAAAGACAAACATTTCAGAGTCAGCAAAAACAATTCATTCCAATTCATTCAAGTTCAGCTCCATTCTAACTACTCCTTTTCTTATTTTTGAACCCTTAATAAATCTGTTAGTAACAACTCATGAACCGTTAATAAAGAGTTTAATAAACCTGTAGATCTCAGACTCTTTGCTGTAATTGAGGTTGACGTCGTTGAGCATCTCTGGAGACGTGTAGCACAGCGAACTGATGCTTTCCTTCCTCCTCGTCTTCCTCAGGGACGTCTCGGTTTTTGCCAGCTCGAAGCCTCCCAGCTAAAAACAACGACAACAACCGATCAAGACTTCCTTCAATCCCCCCCGTCCCCCACGCTTTGAATACCGCCAGCCATCCCAGCATGCACTGGTTTCAGTACCTTGACCGTGTAGCCTTCAGCCACCAGGAACTTGTTGCTGTTGAGGCATCCGTGAACCTTTGATTTCTCTTCAGTCTGGTGCAGTCTGAGAGAAAAGAGAGATTCCGACCATGATGCTACCAATTTGAGGTACATTACATTACGTTACATGTCATTTAGCGGACGCTTTTATCCAAAACGACGTACAATAAGTGCATTCAACCATAGGGTACAAACTCAGGAGAACAAGAAACAAGAAAGTGCAATTTCCTCAAATAAGCCAATTTCCAATTTGCTATAGATGAGTGACGTTACAAGTACAATTTAAGTGCTACAATTTGTTAGTCTTTATGTCTTTAGGTACTTGATGCCCCCCCACAATGATGGCAGAAGACTGACCGGTAGAGCCCTCGCGCTGCGTCCCGACACATCCGAGCCCTGGTGGGCCAGGAGAGAGCGGCCCAATCCGAGTCCAAGACGTCGCGGAGACTTCCCTTCTCACAGTACTCCATGATGATGAGGAACCGGGGGCTGGTTCCTGAAACAAGGTCATAAAAACACATTATTATTGAAATTACAAAAAAGGTCAGATGCGATACCCTCCGATTTTCACTCACCGGGCCCGCTCTGCACACAGATGCCAAACATTCGCAGGATGTTGGGCGACTCGAACCGCCGCATGGTTTCCACCTCCTTGTCGAAGATTTTCTGCAGCTCACTGGAGACAATGTTGAGGATGAATATTTGACCATATCATACCAGTAAAAGCAACGCACGAGGCTGTGTTCGAATACGAAGACGATAAAAACAGCGGATTAGAAGTCAAATCCACAGCAAATCCCCAGGATTCACAATTGATTTCCAATTGGCCTAAAGTCAATCAACACAGCATTAAAAATGATATAAGTTTGGGAAAATGATAAATGAAGAATCAGAACTGCATCTCAGATGGTGGAGTTTTCTTTTTTCCCGGATTGGCAAAGCATCGACATCCGACTCAGTCTACACGTATTTGTTTATTTCCCCCCTGAGGTTTGAAAAACAAAAAAAACACCCGCCACCCGTGTTATACATCTCCATCCCCACTACAGGGGAATAGCGAGGTACTCACTTAGCGTGTAGCCCCTTGTTGGTGTTGATAGCTAACAATGGTTAAGCATCATCGGATGATTTCTTTCCTTTGAGTAATGAAATGTGTCACGGACCTCTGGCTGATGTTCAGCGGGTCAACGTATCTCTTGATGGCCACCGGGAACCCGTTGAACTCTCCTTTGTAGACCTCCGTGTTCGCTGTGACCATGAAGGGCTTTTTGACATCGTCGTATTTCAACTCGTGATGTTTGATGTTTCGGATCTGTTGATCCGTGATGCTGGGCTGCGCCACTGTGAAAACACATGCTCGATAGTTTGATACAGTAGATGCTCCCCAATTACTGACTACGTGCATTAAACCCAATACAAAAATCTCAACTCTTCTTGATTAAATTATACATCAAATTTAGATTTTAATGCAATGTTGTCCCGAGAGAAAACTACGGTGGCCTTGAAGTGCAAAACACAACGGCAAATAGGTACGCACAACGAAATTAACTTCTTACGAAAAGGGTAGGGCCTTATAGCAGATAGCAGAGGACGGACCCTTTCTGATTGGACAGACGGACTGTCTGTCTTTTAACAGGAAATGATACAGGGCTTTTATTTACAACATCTAAATATAATTGAACAACAAAACAGCGGTAAAACAATAGTGAAACACTAGTAAGACACTTTTAAGACACTGGTAAAACATCGGCGTCTCTCCGTGACTTCCTGCTGCGTCACTTCCCCCCTCATCACAGCCTCTCAGTCCCGCCACTGATTTATTGATTGACAGAATATGTAGAAAGCGGCATTTCTCAACTTTCAGAATCAGATTGTGCAAATAGTTAAGGAGTCACGGTAATTTGAATCCTCTATGTCACTTTATGTCGCAGGCGAAAGGCTTCGGATTAAGAGGGTTAAAAGACAGACAGACAGTCCGTCCAATCAGAAAGGGTCCGTCCTCTGCTATCTGCTATAAGGCCCTACCCTTTCCGTAAGAAGTTAATGTTGTTGTGCGTTCCTATTTGCTGTTGTCTTTTCCTATTTGCTGTTGTGTTTTGCACTCAGGGCCACCGTAGAAAACTGAGCGACACAAGAAAAAAAGTGGTTTCTGGAATTGATAAATGTCCCTTTGAGTCAATATGGTGAACCTGAACTTATTGCACAGCAGCATGAACTTTCCTGATGATCTGTGTTTGGGTCCTGCTGACTGTGTTAGTATAATTATACATATTTTAATTAATATCTAGTATGGGTTTGGTGTACTCACTTCCGTGAAGTATTTTTTCCACGTTGTTTTTGAGGATTTCCATGTCTCTCTGCTGCTCCTGCATGTATTCCAGGAGCCCTGAGGAGGAAACATGGACACTGATGAACCGAAGCCAACCCAACATCCTGTGCAACCCCTCTGCTCTTAACCCACCTTATCAGTTTGGCCTATGAGCAGAATTGCTTTCCATCTGGCTTTTCATACCATGAAAGCGCCTCAAAACCCTGTCAGTTAACCTTAGCTGTTGTTCAAGTTCAAACTCACATTTAAGTGCAGTATTTCTAACCATCACACATCCAACTCGCATCACTCAACTGCTCTGAGTCGGTCATTGGGGTCTCTGAAAGGCAATTTCATCCATACTGCAGTTTTTCATTTCTAACCATCTCTTTGAATCATTAATTCATAGGATAAGATCAAAAGATCAAATCCAGGCTTAATAATCAACTGAGCTGATTCTAACCATCTACCGTCAACCATCTAAAAGGACAACAGTCTTGTCCAGTTTGGACTCACGTGTCTTCAGCTCAGCTTCGTCCTCCGCCCTGTCCTCCTCGTCCTCCTTCATTCTGGAGACCAGCTCGAACACCCGGTGCTGCACGATGCTCTGCTCCACTTGCAGAGCTCCAGACAGGTTCTGGAAGGCGTCGGTGAGGCGATCGTTCACACAGTTGAACTCGTCCTTGTGGCTGCCGACCTTCACCAGGCGCTTCACCCAGGTGGCCTCAGTGTAACTCTGGATGAGCTCCTTGGCCGTTGTCAGGGTGCAGGAGAGCTCCGTCAGGCACTTTTTCACCTCTTTGCACCTTCCGCTTTGTTCTTTTTTGATGGACCTCACCAGGTCGTCCAGGGCTTTGACACGCAAACCAACGCGCTGGCTGCGCTTTTTATTGGCCTTCACTTTCTCTACCAGGGAGTAGATCTTTTTGGCAATGGACGTGATCTCCTTGACGATTTCCATGTTCATCTGCAGGGAGTGGAAAGGGAATACAGCGCAGCTGAAAGCAAATCAATCCAAGTTGAGAAAGGAGCTGTACTGGCTACGCTAGCGCCCAAGCTTTAGCAGCACGTGACACATTCACACACAGCCTACGGGAGAAACCTTGGCGGGGGTGGGGGGTGGCGCTTGGGGGAAAGTAGACTTTCTGGATGTTCTTGGCAGTGATCCCAGAGGCAGTTACAGCAGCCCAGTTTTTAGGAGATAAAGGCGAGGACGAATTTCTCTTCATTGACATGGTCAAAGTTCAGGTGGAGTTTGGAAATGATAATGATGAATCGTCAGCTTTTTGAATAGTTCATTTAGCTGAAGAAGAAGGAGGATTTTCTCAAATCATAAAGAAACATTCTTCATATTTACCTAAGGGGTGCAGTACAGTAAATCACCCCCGCCTCCCCGCCCCCTAACTAGAATAACTCTCCAAACGCTCTGCAGATTGAGAGATCTCGATCTGATTTCTTGAATATCAGATTTATTTGTTTTTGGCAGATCAATTGTGTATTACAAGGAGGAGGTGAACTGTCCCCCTGAGTCACTGCAGGCAGAGACTCGCCTCTGGGCTCCACACTTGCCAACACGTTTACAAACCAGCGACACATTGAAAGCTCTGTAGAGAAATGGATCCACACTGAGGAACACAACAAGTAAAAAGAGGATTTACCTTCGATGGAAAGCTTCTCCTCTCAGCTTTTTCTTGTGTCGTTGAAAATGAAACTGCAGACCTCAGCTCCTCCCTTTGCTGCTAACCACTTCCTGTTCCTCCCACCCCCTCACCCACCACACACCCAGTGCTGGTTTACTTCAGCTCTGAAGAAGATAAGAGGAGACTTGTCGAGGTTGCAGGTCATTTTACAGCAAAAGGAAGGAAGGAAGTGGAATGGGAAACATCTGTGAGACTTCTGGAGGGGTAAGTTGAGCCACGGCTTTGTAGTGAACCACTAATAACCTTCATTATCGTCTCCATTTATCCACAAGGAGGCAAAGTGTTCCTTTATCATATTTAATGCCATACAATGCATTTAGATAATATATCAAATGCAATTCAACTATTTTACCTTTCACGTTTAAGAGCTGGTCACATGGTCTTAAACATGAACTCAAACCCTCCATTGCTGTGAAAGTACTCACACTGGAAGTACCCCACCATGGTAAAAGTACAGCATACATACATAATGTAATATGTTATCTAAAAAAAAATATATATATATATATATACATATATGCAATGTATATGTATATGGAACAAAGCAAATGAAAATGTTTTTTGTTAACATTGTATAACCCATAAAATATTTTGGCATCTGTTTCCGAAACGGCAGATAAATATCTATCTCATTATGACAATGGCACAATGATGTGTTAATTAAACACTATTATGTAGTCTTTATTTCCTTTTGTTGACAATGAACACAAATTCTATCCTCAGTTCTCAAATACTCTCGTATTCTCTCCACTAACCAGCAGGGGGCGACTCCCCGTAGATAGACTGAGAAAATGACTCTACGTCTCTCTTGATTTATTCCCTCAGTAAACATTTTAAATTCATGGTTTCAATCTCTAGTTTAAGTCTTCTTCAATACAGATGATGTTCTTTTAGTAGATTATGGTCCATGTAAAGTCGAACAATACTTTAGATGTTTGGTTCCACTAGTGATATTAACCAATACACAGGGAGGAGAGAAGTTTATTTTATGATCGGCATGAAAAGACATAACTTAAAGTTCTGGCCTGACACCAGCTCGTATCCTTTTTGTCTCTGCTGGGGACGTCCTTCCCTTCAGCATCGGGGCCTGCTGGCGTCTGCTGGCGTTCGGAAGAGTCTCTTGAGGACGAAGAGCTGCAGGTACCCAGACAGGACGATGAGGAGGCTTTGGGTCGCTGACCACCAGGTGACGTAGTTGAGGTTGGACAGGAGGAGGTAGTGGTCCTTCCCTTTCCTCATGCGGGCGAAGATGTAGTGTCGCCACGTGTGGAGGATGTGATTCTGGAGCTTCTGCACACTCTCCTAAATCAGAACGGTAGGTGGTTTAGTTTAATGCCAACATGCAAAAAGGAGGTGATGGCAGCAATATAATAAAGGAGTCAAACTCTGATGACACCATGATGATTAAAGAAGGCCACAGGTAGAAGAGCTTCACTTATGTACATATTCACGTGCATCACTTTAGGTGGAATGCACAGGAGCTCCTCACTGTGCTAAACACAGTCAGGTCCAACCTGAGACTCGAACGAGAACAAACACCTCAATGCCGGCCAAAGTGCTGTTGAGGACCCTCTCTCCTTGCTCTGTTTCCCTCCTCAACTCCTCAGAGCCGTCGTAGATGACGCCGAAGTTCACAAAGACCCTGATGCCTCCAAACTGGTTGTTGTGGTTCCCGAGACAAAGCCTGTAAAAACCTGCCCGGGGGACAGTGGTGTAACATCAGAGATGAGATGTAGAGATCTATATGTGTACTTGGATTCATGATGTGGGTTTATGATGGACCCACCTGTCACCTCGGTCTGAAAACCCATCCGACCGAAGGCCTCATTCTCTGAAGCCACGAGGGCGCCCTGCGGCGAGCTCACTGTCACAAACAGCCGCTGATCGTTGGCCATCCCCGTGACCCACTGCACCTGAAGGTCACACAGCAAGAAACGTCTACGGAGCGCGTGAGAGGACAGCGGGTAGTGTGTGTGTGTGACCCTGCGTTGTCGTGGAAACGTGGCCAGAGAGGGTTCTGATGTCTGACATTCTGTTTCCTGTTTAAATTACGTCGTCATCAAAGTCAACGTCTACACTTAAAAACCACCATTAATCAATAAATCAATAGTTTACCTGAATCGCTTTTCTGGTGATGCTTCCATGGTAATCAGCACTCATATGATCTGAGGTTACAGACCTTCCCCTTTTACTGGTTTAAGGAGTGTTTATGTTCTTAATTTAGTTTTTGTTTTTTCTATGTCACAGCGATAGCGATCACACGTTTGGAGGTCACTCTGACCCTGAAGGTCAGCGAGATAAGCCGGAGGACGAATGGCCCACAGGAACGGGCCTTGTTGCGCAATCATCTAACGTCGGCGCTTCAGCAACAAACATGAATCCCCCCCCAGACCCTCTAAACCAGGTGAGCCCCCCCCAGGGTGGAACTCACCATGTAGGTCAGGTAGAAGCTCCCACTCTGGTGGGCGAAGTGCCAGAAGCACTCCGTCTCCGCGGCGCCGACCACCAGGGCGAAGTCGTACTTGTCGGAGCCCCTGAAGAGTCCTGCGTGGGACTCTTCCAGCATCGGCTCGGACTTCCTGCCGAAGACGCACCGGGAGCTCAGCGCGAGGAGCAGAGCCTTCAGCAGCATGACGGCAGGTCCACTGTGCTGGAGGACGACCGGCGCCCCCCCACCCCTCTGTTGATTCTGAGATAGCAGCTGGAAAAGAATGATTAACTACGAGCACAAGCTTGAGTCGCCCGATGACGTGAAAACACACGTCTTTCCTTTATTCTATTAACAAAATTTCTCTAGAAGATTATTAAATTAGCAACATTAATCTTTATCTCTTTTAATTTAGTCAATGAGCAAAATGTATCTCTAGTCTATTGGCAACATTTCTATTTATGTTTTCATATCTTCTTATCTTTTCATAATTCTTTTTGCATAATTCTTTTTGATCTGGACTGTGTCTAAAAGCAACCTCTCCATTTAATGTCAAGATATTAATGTTTTTGATTTAGTTGAATTAACAAACTTTTTCCGTTGAACAATGTGAAAAAAGGAATCAATCCGCAGCAGTTAAAACTTGTGAACATGGAATGTGTTTTGAAGGCGTTCTGGAGGCAGAAATCCTCTTTGCGACGACATCACTGCACATAAATGTTCACTTTCTCGTTCAGTCAAAACACAAAATCTGTTTAGGAAAAGTCTCAATCCACCCCAAATTTTCACATAAAACAAACATTGATACAAAATGATTTGCGGATAGAAATAAAACCACAGCACCTCCTTTTCCACTAACTCGGCAGCAGGAACATTTAGCCCCGCCCTCACCCATCCTCTGATTGGCCCAAAGGAAAGAAAACTCACAGGCCGCGTCCTCCACGGCTTTTATTGAAGAAAATCACAAAAGCACACAAACACAGACATCCGCAGGGTTTCTCCTCCTCAGCATCGGGGCTTCTCCTCCTCGGCGCCGCCGGCCCGGGTGACGAAGAGCCTCCGGAGGAAGAGGAGCTGCAGGTAGCCGGAGGTGACCACGAGGAGGCTGAGGGCGACCGACCAGCGGGTCACGTACCGCGAGTTGGACAGCAGCAGGAAGTAGTCGGCGCTTCTCCTCATGCGTCCAAAGTTGTAGTAGCGGAAGATGTGGAAGACGTGGTTCTCCACTTTGTGAGTCGCGTCCTGCAACAAACCAGTAGTTTACTACTGGTGCTACTGGTGGTACTACTAGTACTACTACTGTGACTACTGTGACTACTACTACCACTGGTACTGGTACTTTTGCCAGAACTGCCGCCAACCTTACTACTGATAATTAAAACAATAGATATTTGTACACAATATTTAGTTTCTATGACGAGTTTTTCATTCTGTGCTTTTTTTCGTTATTGTTTTTTTTCTTCGATGTTATGCGTCACATTGTTGAGGGCACTGTCAGCAGTTATATAAATAAACTCAAAATAAATTGATTGAAAGAAATATAATATAACGATTAGCAGCACTATTATTACAACCAACACACTTTTACTTAAAGATGTTTAACTTAAATAAATGTCGGTCAAGTCGCTGTTCATCACCGAATGAGGTAACACGAAGAAAGGATGTTACGTCTAAGGTACTAAGAACTGAACACTTCCTCCGCTAGTGTGTGTGCGCGCGTGTGTGTGTGTGTGTGTGTGTGTGTGTGTGTGTGTGTGTGTGTGTGTGTGTGTGTGTGTGTGTGTGTGTGTGTGTGTGTGTGCACCTTTATGAAGCTCAGCGTGTTGTTCAGGTCTTTGCTGGCTTCCTCCTTCTTCTTGTTCTCCTCCTCGCGGCGCTTGGTGGGCTCCTGGTAGCCGTCGTAGTAAACGCCGAAGCTGAGGAACACCTGCATGGTGGCGAAGCGGTTGTGGAAGTTGCTGAAACACATCTGGTAAAAACCTGGAAAGACACAATGTACACACATTCACACACGTATCACCCATCAGAGAATATAGACTCAAGTCAAGTGTTGACCTCGAGGTGAACATTGAGTGGCAGAAGTAAAAGTATTCATTTTACAGAATATATATATATATATATATATATATATATATAGGCAGACAGACACCTGTTTTCTGGGCCTCAAAGTTGATCTGACCCTTTGCGTCATCGACAGTCGACACAAGCTCGCTGCTGGGAGCGTTGACGGTGACAGACAGGTGTCTGTCATGGCCGACTCCCGTCACCCACTGGACCTAGCGGCAGACAGACAGACAGAGACAGAAAGACAGACAGACAGGCATTTTGTTTGTCCATACGCTGGCTTAAAAGCAGGGACACATTTTGAAGTGGTGAAGGATGTCTGACAGCAGGAAGAAGCCCCAGAAGGATCCCGGGGTTCCTCTCACCATGAAGCTCAGGTAGAATCTCTCTCCGCGGTGAGCGAAGTGCCAGAAGCACTCCAGCCCGGCGGCAGGAAGCACCACGGAGAAGTCGTACTGGTCGGTGCCCCAGAACAGCTCCTGGTCCGTCATGTCGGGGCGGAGGCCCGTCTGCGGGCCGCCGCCGACCGGACCCAGAACCGCCACGAGGAGGAGGAACGAGGAGGTGATCCCGGACGGCATGTCTGGAAATGTGAGCTCTGCAGGGAGGAAAAGGGTTTCAGGGCCGCGTAGAATCATTAACCTGCTCACACGTATGGTGGGAAAAGTGGTCTGCGCCGACAGATGGAGTCGGCTGAAGGGGGAGGGACAAAGAGGGACAAATGATGAAGAAAAAGCTGGAGCTTTATAGAGATTCCAGTAGCTGCTGTTAGAGTTCTGCAGGAATGAGTCTTAAGACTCAGGAAATCTGTATTTCTGGTTAGAAGTCTGAAATCCGTTTTGTGGGGCCAGGTACGACAGTTAAATTACAGTTAAAATATGTTGTGTCTAGGCCACTATATCGTGGGGGAAAGGGTAAAACAATATTTAAAAAAAAATCTAAATATGTAAGATGGAAAACAATCGAAAAACATTCGATATATGTCAAAGAATGTTATAAAAAACAGTAATAATATGATGTGTTTAGAAAAAAACTCTAAATAAAAATGAAAAAGATTTTTAGAAAAAAAGTGAAAATATGTAAGGTCGAAAAAAACAATCAATAAGGTGTGTCTAAAAATGTCATGAAAGGAAATCTGAAAAATAGGATTTGACATTTATCTACGTGACATATTAAAAAAAAATTCAAAACAGTCTAAATATGATTTTATTTCAAAAAATGTTCAACACATTGTGACGAAATATATTTTAAAAACATACATATCTAGACTTTGTTTTCATAACATGTTTTGCCCCAATATATTTTGACCTTTTTTCAAAACATTTTGACCCAATATATTTTGGCTTTGCTTCCAAACATTTTTTTACCCAATAGTTTTTTAAATAAATGTTTTTCACCCTACTTTAAAAAATATAAGGTGTTGATAGATTAAAACAATAACTGATAATTAACAGATTAATCTCACAAGTTGAAAAAAATGAATTACTTTTTCGCCCCCATGCACTTTGCTCTCAACTCTCCATCATTTAACGTCTGTGTTTAAAGTGCCAACAATCTCTCCACATTTAGCAAAAACATTTTCAAACCATAGTCCTTTAGGCACACAGTTGTGGTCCTCTGCAGGGTAGATGTTGAGAGGGAAGTGGCCTAACAGCTATCAATTCACGGGCTGTTGGACATGTGGACGAATTCCTTTGCAAGAAAACAAAGTTTTGTTAACTGTGTTAAAATATTTTTGCATTAATCTCGACCACAATAATCTCATAGACTAAGGCGGCTTTGACAGCCCTAATATTTCTTTAAATCTTTTATATTTTCGATACGATATTTACTTTTTCCACATGATTTGACCTCATCTAATCTTTTTCATGATAACGGGTTGACTATTTTTCACCTAATATTTTTAACATATTTTCCCTTGACAATTTGGTCACATGCTCAGTCAGCGGAACATACATAGGCTTGAAACTACAGCTCGTACAGGATGCTGGAATTATTAGTGAATTAACTTCAGTCTTCGCAGAAAGTACAGGAAACAAAAACATTTAGTTTGAGATATAAAAAGACTGCAACTACTCAATAGAATATATTTTGTACATCCCAAAAATCAGAAACGTGCCTCTGAGGGCTTGACAATATGAACCCTCTGACCCTCGCATCAATAGTTCAAAAAAAGAAGATTCAACAGGAAGGCCAAAAAGCAGAAACATCAGCGGGCCAGTGGCTCATTTAAAACAATGTCAAACTTAGAACAAAATAAATCAAAATAAGACAAATAAAGACGCGTCAGAAGCTGAGATTCTTAAAGAGGTAGAAAGGAACAGTTTATTTGGATCAACTTATAAAAAGGCTCAGAAATCCCACAACAAATACAGTACTGACACAAATATATTCTTTAAAATAACATTCTCTCAATTTTTTCTTTTCTTTTCGGCAGGTTCTTCAGGTTTGAATTCAAGACTTGAGGATATTTTATGATTGAAGTGAGAAAAACTGATTTGAATCCCCACAGATAACTATTTAAAAATGCTTTTACATTTGATTAAATTGTCATTTTAATGTCAGTTTGTTTTAGTGTTCAGCTAAATACTTTGTAATACCTTGTGGAATATAACCTAGTGATGATGAAGGAGCATGAAATGACAAGAGATATTTTGAAATCAGTTATTCAGTGATTTGAAAAAGAATGTTTAACAAGGCCAAAAACACAACACATTCACCACAAAGCACTTCCTGTCATCCAGAAACAGCAAGATGACATTTTCATAACAGCTAAATCTCAAAGAATTGAACATTTTGTTTGTTCTTAAATGGCACAAACAGGTGATTTAATATAATTTGGGTAAAACAAGACGATTGTGCAGAACCCTCCCCCCCCCAAAAAACGGAGACAATAAAAAAAGATTCTGGAGTAAAAAACAACATCCAAAGTGACTTCTTAAAATAAAAATGGTTATGTGGTAGACAAGATTTAAATGCTTTTGTCTGATTCATCGTGGAGAAACTTTAACAATCTGACGTTGAACCAACAAAGTGGTGCGTTAGCGTCTTCGTTGGACTGAGGACCGACTGGCGGCTGCAGAGACTCTGCACAGGTACCAGCGGTAGGAGTGAAATGGCAGGACGGGTTAGCATGCGAGCTTGTTAGCATCAGCAGACGTCTCTGCAAAACTTGACAATATGTCAACACTGTAAAGGGGCCTAAACTATTGTTGATAGTAAAACTCCTAGTTAAGATCAAGAGAAAGGACGAATCAAGATTGTAATTGTTGATATTTCATGGTGGCTTTATGCTTTATGTTAATAAAATAACACGAGAGCACTGATGATTGTAGTCATAAAATCCTTTAAAGTCACCTAACTAAAGACGCAGCATCTCAACGATCAGTTTGATAAATGAAGATTTATTTATTCATCCAGCGGCTTTAAACTCAGATGGCCTGAGTAAGACCTTTAGTGTCTTTAGTGGATCCCCCACCCGCCAGGAAGGAGGACCAAACAACTCACACCTCAGTTGGGAGGCGGCGCTCTGCACCCACGGCCGGTTCATCTGTGCCGTGGTAGGTTTGATTGACAGCACGTCAAACAGAGAACTCGGCCCCGCCCCTCCAGCTGCGTCTGGGCAGCAGGGTTGGTAGTTTGAGTCCGGCGAAGGGGCTGACCCACAGCAGCGAAGGCTGACCCCCGAACACCGACCTCAGCCCCGCCCAGCGAGTCTGACGCTCCCACGTGGGCTTCTGGTTCTTTAGCCGCTCGATCTCCTGATGCACAACACGCACAACGTTGTTACGCACAGACCTCCTCACATCATAAAAAGGTCATTCTTAAATAACACAGAAGAGGAGGAAGAGTTTGCTTCCTCACCGTCTCGTCGCTGCAGATGGAGTGAAGCTGAGTGGTGAACATCACAGCTGTGAAGGTGAAGAAGAGGAGGGACTCCATGCAGAGGAAGATCATCAGCATCATCGTCACGGGGGGGGAGAAGTCACTGCACTCTGGACACACACACAGGTTCAATTAAAGACACAAAAGTCCTCCATCGTCAAAGTGAACGACGAGAAGATGTGACAACAATCATCTCACCTCTCCACTGGACCCTGACGCAGGAGATGAACTGGTATCCACAGAGAGCCAGAGCGTGACTGGAGATCAAAGCAACGTACATCTGTGGGCGAGAGAGACACTTCTAAAGTTCAACCTTTTAACAGTAGACTCATCTAACAAGGAAGTAGAACCTTCTAACAGGAAGTAGACTCATCTAACAGGAAGTAGAACCTTCTAACAGGAAGTAGACAAGTATTGATGCAACACAACGTCGTCTTGACTATTCACACATGGAAGGGATTTTTAAGTGTGGAAAAAAACAGCAAAAAACAACAAAAGACCTTTTTCTTTACGTTGCTTTTTTCTGTAAGGTGAAGGAACACAAGGTTAGTAAACAGATATGAGGTTTGAGACCTCTGAGAATTTGAAATAACAGATTACGAAGAAGAGGAAGAACAGGTTTAGTCAAGCCAGATGTTCCCAGGTGGTTCATCCAGAGAGGAAGGGTCTCTCACAGATATCATTCACAGGTGTGCCATCAGCCTTGAGTGAACTCACAGTGAAGAGGACGAAGAAGCGCTGGTTCTTCTCCCCCACACAGTTGTTGACCCAGGGGCAGTGGTGGTCCATCTTGCGGATGCAGCGCTTGCAGATGCTGCAGTAGAAGAAGAAGAGAGGAACACATCTGGCTTGTTTTCGTATTTAAGAGATGATGAAAGGTTCTGTTGTTGACCTTTGGTGAGTAAAACCTAAATGGATGAATCATCCCAGCTGTGTGATGGGGTTGAAAGCTACGGATACAAACAGTAAGTGGACCCTTGAGTTGATAAATGTTATCCACACAAAGTAAACTCTGTAATTTCTGATTCTTTTTCTGCTTTTGAAGAAAAGATGCAAACAGAGAAAGACTCGTCTGAGGAGTCCGACCTGCAGTGATGAGCCCTCTCCGGTTTGATGCTGCAGCATTTCGGGCACTTGTAGATGACCTCGCCGGGCTTCAGCTGCAGACTCTCCATGTACTGCTTGGTGGCGTTTCCCTTGGGAACGGCTCCCTGCAGGGAGGAAACATTGAACCCATTCCATTAGTGTATTCATCATTGTTGCCATTTAACCCCAAAGCTCCACCGGGGCCGGCTTCCCTTACCGGGTCGGTCAGCATGGTGCGGAGGTGGGAGGCCAGCGCCAGCACCGCCAGGCTGTTGAAGAGCACCCCGTTGACCACGGCGTACCAGAAGCTCCGCGAGGGCAGCAGTATGACAAAGGTCACCACGAAGTCGGCGAAAAAGACCAGGAACCAGGTGATGAAGGCGCACACCATGCCGCAGCAGTCCGGGATGAACCAGAGGCGTCGCTCGGCCTCGGGGCTTCTCTCCTCCTCCTCCTCCTCCTCCTCCTCCTCCTCCTCCTCCTCCTCCTCCCCCCCGTCCAGCAGGGAGCGCTGCTGCTCCACGTCCCGCTGCCTGTGGCCTGAGGACATTCTGCCCTGAAGGAGGGACAAGGGGCGTTAAGAGACGTTTTTCTGTGATATGTTTGTCTTAGACGCGATTAATGTGTCCATCATTTCGGTCACTGGTTATTATTGTTGTTGAGATGAAAAGTCTTAAGAAAACATCAGATGACTTTTGTTATCTCATACTATGTTTTACTGCGCTCAAAAATAGCCATTTATAGCATATTTATACGGCATACGATCATTTATTAATATATACAACTAGATAATGTCAAATGTTTAACTATCTCACTAAAGTATATTTCTGCTGTAATATGCTTTGATATTAAACATAAACGTACATTATATATACAGTATAACAGTATTATATTTTACACATCAAAAACGTTTTTAGCGGATACCAAATACTCTACTTTAAAATGTATACTTCTATAATTATTGTACTAAAACATTAGTTATTTCCTGTTCCTCTGATCTTATTTCTGCTGCTCCTCCTGATTTTCAACGATGACTTACATGAGTAGAAGATGCAACGTAAAAGATGAAGTTAGGAGCACGTTTACCTACTTAACAGTGTCTCCACGTTACAGCATCATCGCGTCTCCTCCAGCTGCTCCGTGGAGTCATATCGCTGTGGATCAGTTCAAGTAACGTTACTCGGATTCTTTAAGTGCTTACACCACACTGTGAAGCTACTCCACTACAAATAGAAACCAAGTGTTATCAGCAAACTGTACTTCATTACAGCATTGGAGCTCTCACTGGAAGGAGATCCATTCAAATTAATGTCACTATTTGAAAGACATTTAAACCAAAACCGTCACCTATAACCTAGCATTAGCATAGAACATTAGCATAGCAAACCTAGCTGACACCTAACCTAGCATTAGCATACGTTAGCATAACAATGGACAACAGACACCTAGCATTAGTCCAATACCTTAGCATAACAAACCCAGCGTTGCCACTAGCTCAGTTTAGCCGCGTGTGTGTTAGCCACGTTTCGCTCTGCCCTTTAGATACACGCTTAACTTAAATAAAGTACACCCGGCTACGAACCGAGCAGCACGGCTACCCGGCTAGCTACGGGGGATAACACAAGCTAGCTAACGGCTAGCTTACCCAGCTGTCATGTGTTTTAACTGCCGATGCTCCTCTTGCAGGTATCCAGCAGATGAACCGACACACGGTTTGAGTCTGCCAGGCGATTCATTCAGTGAGTGACAGCTTTTACTTGCTAAACATAAGCTGCGCTGAATAAAACGGCAGCGTCTTCAGAGTGTTTAACGTTAGCATAGAAAAGCAGCTGTGAGCTACTGTTTAACCGGAAGTTGATTGGTTTATCCCGACTGGACATTTGTCCAACAGACCATTTGGTTAAATTGCTTTAAGTGTTTTATCTGGTAAACCAAAGAAATTGCGTTTGAAAACGCTTTCGAAGAATAAATCTCACCTTCGCATTGCCTGTTGCGTTTGTTCATGTGACTCAGGGCTCATGTTGCCCCCCTGTGGCCGCTTGAGGAGAAGCACCCACCAAAAATATTCCATGATTGTAATCAAATAAACTAAAATATCTGTATATATATTTATACTATAGTGTTTGTTCAATATTAAGTAATCACCATTCATTGAAAAATAATCCTCGATAAAAACACTTCATCTCATTACGTTTATTACTGGTTGGCAGATAAATAAGGCACATTCACATTATATTTAAGACATCAAAAACTAAAATCAGTGCTACAAAAATAATTAAGACTTGACTTCAGATTACGTTTTGACATCCTTTCATCTAGAAATGTAACACTGGAAACCAAAAGCTGATAGCTCGCAACTGGTTTCCTTGACAAAAAAAACAAAAACTATCGACAAACATCGGCGGAGGAAAGAAACCAAAGAAGTTTAACGTGAAGAGGTGAGCAGCGACCTGAACGTTCGCAGTAAACAAGTGAACGGTGTGAGGGGAACATGTGACATGAAGTAACAGAAACGCTAAATGTGACTAAAATCTCGTAATGTTTAAAGGAACCAAACTGGTGGTTTTGCATATTTTATATCTCCTAAGTTTAAAATCTCGAGTTTGTTGTGAAAAATTTGCAAAAACTTGCAAAGACGTGAAACTTGCTCACTGCTGATTTCTTCATTCTGATAGAGAATAGTAATTTAATATTGCTCAATTTATACGATGAGGAAAAAACCCTGTGGCATAATATTTATCAAGACGAGTGCACTGTTGTGAAAACATAGAAAATATATATATATATATATATTATATATATAAATAAAAAATAAAAAAAGTTTGGAAACAATGAGCTAAAAAATATTTTTATTTGACGCAAACAAGAAAATTTCAAATTGATTTTTGATCGAATTCAACCTCGTTCCTAATTAAATGAATAAAGAACAGTTTAATAAACCTGCTCCTGAACGTAACAACTTTAAGATTTAATTTGAACTACGTTGGTGTGATAATGAAAACCTTTGGCACGGATGTCAAATGCAAGATTTGTCATTCACGGGATTAAAAACATTATGGAGCAGAACGACCTGAAACTAAGTGAAATAAAAGGTTTTTCTAATGCTGCCTGGAGACCCGCCGGATCCTTCAAAACAAAACTACCGGCATTCCTTCTTTCGTTTTGAGAGGGCTAGAAGAAAGTGCTTCAAACTCAAGAGAAGAAGAGGGGGAAGAAGAGTTTAAGAAAAGACTCTGTTAATGTACCAAACAGCATGTAAAGTCACAATGAAATAATATTTTACACAATTTCATACATTTGTTGCTAAAACTAGCACAAAATATAAAATGGGGTTCACTTTTAAAAAAGGCATATTTACCAGAGTCCTTTGAAGCAGTAATTTAACTTCTCAGAACAGCGGAGCTGCTGGTTGTGTGATTGTGTATTTGTGTTACTGTTATGGTGTTGTTGTGTGACTTTGGTGTTTTAAAAAGGTTAAGTCGCATAATGACTCAAACTACCGTCTTCTCGGAGCTGGAATCTCGGTTTTCTGGAGTCTGGTGGCTTGAGGAGAGAATCGACAGTTAACATTTGCGCTGATGGTATTCAAATAAAAGTCAGTCGGTTTGATTCAACGTTACAGTAAGAAAAATTAAATGAATAAGATACGGCTTCAAAATAAATTATACAATGACACTCGAAATCAAGACGGACCTTAAATTAACATTCGTTTTTTATGGTTTTTCACATTGTCTTAAAAGCAGACACCCCCCTCTACTCCCGAAATGTCTTTTTGAAATGTTATAAGCTGACAAACTGTGCAGAATACATTCTATCATTTCATTGCGACTTTAAGAAGGGTCAATACAGCCAAAATCTACTAAAGACCTTCTCTCTCAACTGTTGGTTTAATCCGTCTCATGGATTTAAGTGATATCAATCCAATCGGTCAGTTTTAGTTATAAATAATAATAATTATTCTTATGAGACAAGATGATAACCTGCTTAGATCTAGTTTTGGGAAGTTAAAAGGTCATAACTTCTTCACCAAAATAACACAGCTTTTTAAAAGTAAAGAGTAAATTTAAACAAATCACAACCTCCGTTAGCGTTAACTGTTAGCATTGCTGCGTAGCTGATCCGGACTGTGCCGCTACCTAGCCCACGCTACCTAGCCCACGCTACCTAGCTCGTCGTTCACGTCGTAACGTCAAACGTTCGATGACACGCGCTGATCAATTATGCGATAACGCAATGTGGTGGTTACCCGATCCAGCACCAGACGCCTTTCTGATACCATCGATCCCATCTCCGCTAGAAAGGTCCCGGTGAGGTGGGGGGTGAAAAAGTGTTTTATTGTGAACAGAGTCTTTTCCTCTCGTTGTTTCTGTCGAGTTAAAAGAACCGTTTAGTTCATATTCAGCAAAGAGACATGAAGAGTTGTCTCAGCTGACCTCAAACTGTGAGCTTTCCTTCTTTCTCATCGAGGGGAACCAAGAACTGACCCCCACCCGACTCCCTCTCACGACACCTCTACGACCGGACTCCCCGCGCGCCTCTCCGACGTTTGGTCGCGTTCTCTCCGATCGCTTCCCTCGACAGGGTCGAGGTCAGTGGGATTTGAGCCCGCGTCCTCGCTGCTCTCCTCCTGCTGGGCCTCGACGCCAGCGTGAGTATGTTTACCCGGTGACCCCGGCGAAGGGGCCGAGGTCGTGTGCGAGTCGCCGTACGTTTTAGTGCACGCCTCCGCCGTGTGGGCGTGTCCGGTGGGTGCGGGCTCTGGGGTCCATCCTCCTGGGTCCAGGGTGTGGCAGCGTCCCAGGGGCCGCTCTCTCAGCCGGGGCCCCGCCTCCATGCTCGTAGAGGGGCTGCTGACCTCCACCGTCTCCCCGCGCCTCAACCGCCGCCTGTCGGGGTCCCCCTGGGGGAGAAAAGTGGAAGACAGGGCTGACAACTTCAAGGGTTATCAAAAGAGAATATTTGACAGCGAGTCGCCCCCTGCTGGTCATCAGGGGGAAGCAGCTTCAACACGAAGCTTCGGAGGCCGAGAGCCTGAACAGTCTTCAATAAACCCTCAGATCAGAGGATTAAAACGCTAGTTGCCTTTTATCTATCCTGAGGTCTAATCTGTTTCTTCTGATTCACATTGCAAAGATGTGCTCTACGTACGAGTACTCTATGAAGTACTCTCTCATGTATTCTACGAAAACAGTCCTATATTTCCCACAATGCAACCAATGGAACATCTACGATAACAGCCCGTCTCCACATCTCCACCACTCACTCACTCCCCCCCACCCAAAAAGTCCCAATGGGTTCATCCTCTGGGGATACCGAACGCCTTAGTTAGTTATTTTAGTGTGGAGCGACGCCACAGGCCAGAGGTGCAGGCACGTACCTGGCTGGTGTTGGTTGAACACCTGGAGGGAGGACTGGGGGAGCCCTTCCTCATCTGCTGGACCCTGAATCACAAACAAACAGAGGTTACCTCCACAGAAGTCTCTGAGGGAGGCGGAGGGAGGTGAGGGCGCTACCTGCTGATGGGCTGGGCCAGCTTCTGTCTGCGGCCGTGGTTGTGATCCTGCAGCTTCAGACGCTGCACGAACGAATGAGCTGCAGAGACAACAAAAGGGAGGGGGGGATCCTAAATAACGAGTGACAAAGCATCCAACGACACTCTAAAAAGGAGGCCGAGTCGGGATCAGAAACTCATTAACGATGAATTGTTTCCAAATTACCCAGAGCTCCTTTGGGCACAGACAGGAGTTTGATTGGTTCGGCGTCGGGGGAGAGTCCTGACGCTTTCTGCAGAGCTCTCAGGATCTCCGTGTTCTGCAGAGGAAAACGCCAAAGAGTTCCTGTGATCATCATCAAGCACCAATGCTTCATCACATATCGATCATTTATTCCATCGTCTCCTCCCACGCTTTCCTTCGTGTTAAATCGACCACCCGGAACCTGCGACGTGATGTGCTCGGTGTGCATGTCGATGTTTAAGGCACAAAGTCTCTCTCTCTAAAAAAGCCTTTACAAGCTAGAGTAAAATACGCCTGTAAATATCAAATATCTAGGGCTTTTATTGTGAAAAGCAGTGGGTCGGCTCAGCGTGGCCTTGCCCAAGGTTTACAGCAGTAACAACGTTTGGTTCAGACTGCCGAGCGTCCCGTTTTCAACATTTCTGAAATTTTTGTCGAACCGTTTGACATAAATGAAACAGAAATATGAATATATGTGATCCCATCTAGGACCCTGTTGTCATAGTTTACTGTGTGTGTGTGTGTGTGTGTGTGTGTGCGCGTGTAGCTCCACCTTGCCGCCCAGCTCGTAGGCGCAGTCCAGCGGCGTCCTCTGCCTCTTGTTCCTGAGGCCGGCCGAAGCCCCGCCCCTCAGTAGCAGCTCCACCAGCTCCTGGTGGCCGCCGCGCACCGCCTCGTGCAGAGCCGTGTTGCCCTGGCGGTTTGCCGCGTTCACCAGCGCGTCGCTCTGCAGCAGCGTGCTGGCCGTCTCGGGGCTCCCGCATAGGCAGGCCTGTATCAGCGGCGTGTTGCCATAGTGATCCTTCTTGTTCAGTTTGGCGTTGCACTCAAGCAGAAATCTCACCACCTAAAAAAACAACAAAAATATTGCATTTGATGGGGACTATTTTCAGCAGCGGATTAATCCACATTTGCTGCTCTCGTGCAGTGTGACCCTTTGATGTATTGTAGCCCACGGTAACGCAGGTTTATATTGATTTTCAGACAAAAGCAAAAAAATAAATGAAACCACACAACAAAGACAAACAAACCAGTGGACCGGAAGTATTAGAAACTAATCTTTACGTGGGAGCTCTCCTGAACTTTTTGATTCATCTTTGTTTTCATTCAATACGGCGGGAGATTGTTTTCAAACGTTTCATTTCTTTCTTTTCTGTGTTTTATTATTATTTATTATTTATGTGGCGATAAATAAGTGTTCCTCACTTGCCCCTCCCACTCCTACCTGGACGTGGCTGTTCTGGCTGGCCAGGTGTAGCGGCGTGGCGCTGTGGTTGGTGCGGGCGTTGACGTTGGCTCCGTGGCGGATCAGCAGAGCGGCGAGCGGGCAGTGGCCGTGCAGTGCGGCGACGTGCAGCGGCGTAAAGCCGCCGCCGTTGCAGCTGTTGACCCCGAGGGCCCCGGCATGCAGGACGGAGAGCTGGGGGACACACAGAGGACACCGCGGGTTAGAGCCCCGCCTCCCGCCGACGCCGCTTGAAGACGGCCTCTGCCGAGTCACCTTCTGAGTGGGGGCGCAGGTCGGACACTGACACAGCGGGTGGCACAGCGAGGCCTCAGACTGAAGCGCCCCCCCTCCTCCCCGCTGTTCCTCCTCCTCCTCTTCCTCCTCCTCCATCCACTCCAACAGGTAACGCACCTGAAGCACACACACAGGGAGACGGCACTCGTTAATGAGTCCACAAGCCGGACAAAGCCGGAGACACTTTGTCCTCACCATCTCCACGTCGCCGTCTGCAACGGCCCGCAGCAGCTTCTCCACCTGTCGATGACACACAGTCAGTCCCCGCGGAAACGGCCTCTCAGGGAACACCAGTGAGGTCATTGCTCCTACCTCTCTGTGTCGGACCCGTTCGACCTCCGGTTTGACCTCAGGCTCCCGGGAGGAGGTGCTGGAGACGGAGGAGCGGCGGCTGCTGCAGTCGGAGGCCAGAGGGGATCGGCTGGGGGACTGAGGAGGTGGAGGACAGACAGACAGGTGTGACAGGTATGTGTAACAATGCAAGATGGCTACAACCAAATCTCCAAACTCAAAACTTGAAAATGTTCCACAAACCAACGAAAAAAGAAAAAAAACATTCCTAGCAACTACTGACTGTTTTAAAAAGGTCACATGGTGCGGCTCATGACCTCTGACCCCGGGGGTTTACTCAATCACACTCACATCGACTTCTCTGCGCTGGCAGCCGTTCTGAGCAGACTGCAACAGGCCGAGGATCTGCAGCGGGAAGGAAGAGAAGGTTTCAGAATGGTTTGTGCTGATCTGAGGTCAGGTTCTCACACTCAGTGGTTCCACTAATCCCATCAGCTGAGCTCTGAAACAAGTCGCTTTCACGTCCGTTTGCTTCAATGATCTGTGACCAGCAGCTTGTATTAAATGTCTCTCCACCAAACGTCATTCTTAACACGAAGCCAGCTTCAACAAATTAGAAAGAATATTCTTTTAAATTCTTTTACACTGCGTAAGAACCAATACTGAAATATAGATACAAATGTCTGGTGATCAAAGGAGAGCAACATGCCAACAAACAACAAACTTCTTCTTAAATACAGCATGATGTTTACTCAGTAAATTGTGGTCCATTTAGAGTCAAAGAGACCATAAAGCAGGGGATGCTTTAGGGCGGAGCTACACGCTGATTGACAGGTCTCTAATAGACCATGAAGGGTCTCTGCGTGCGCCGCTGACCTTGGAGTTGAGCGCGCAGCGCAGCGGCGAGTCCTTGCTCTTGTTGAGGACGTGGGTGCTCGCCCCGTTCTCCAGCAGCACCTGGATGATCCCCTCGTAGCCCCAGCGGGACGCCATGTGCAGCGCCGCGTCGCCTTTGTCGTTCTGCAGGTCCAGGCGGCACGTTTGTACGTCGTAGTACACCAGCGCCTTCACGCACTGACACAAGTAAAAAATTTCAGAGTCCTAGTACGCAAAGGATGTGATCGCATCAGGAGAAGTTGTAATAAGCGCGACACTCACGTCCTCGTGCCCGTGCATGCAGGCCAGGTGCAGCGGCGTGTTCCCGCTGTTGTCCTGAGCGTCCGTGTCGGCCTTGTAGTGCAGCAGCAGCAGCTACGGGACAAATTAGACTTTATCTAATCAGATGTCAGCAGAGTTTCATGTTGTTGAAATTTAGTGGAAAGGGTTTTACAGGAGAATTCAAGATATTTGATGAATCAGAAAATATATAAATAAAATGCTTTCCTCCATCGTTTTCGTTTTTTTTAAAAAGCTTCTCTAAATCTTTTTTTGTATTATGATTCACACAGTCAAATGCTGTGTGTGCGTGTTTTTTTCACCGTGACTCCCTGGTATCCCCTCTGGCAGGCCAGGTGCAGCGGCGTGAGGGCGTGGTAGTCCGTGGCGTTGACCAGCGCTCCTTTACACACCAGCAAGTCGATCAGCTGGGTCTGGCCTGACACACACACACAATCATCGTGGTCACAGTGAATGTTTATCTTTTATCTCTGTGTGTGTGTGTGTGTGTGTGTGTGTGTGCGCTCACCACAGATGGCAGCGGCGTGCAGCGGGGTGTAACCGCGGTCGTCTCGGGAGAACGGCGTGACGATGGACGGGTCGTTCAACCGCCTGCCGACAGGAAGTCAGGTTACTCACACTAACAGGTGGGGTCAACGGGTCAATCAGACCCCGCCACTGACTGACAGGGCAGCTCGGTGACAGGTGAAAGGGATGAAAGAAAAGATTCAGATCTGACTGAACAGTTTCCAGCCAGGGTGGTGGGGGAGGGGTGGGGGGTCAAGTAGGAAGTAAGCAAATAGCTTTTCGTTCCGGAGTCTTTGATGAAATAATAGAAAAAGCTCAAATAATAATGAAACTGTCCCAGTAAAATGTGTGTGTGTGTGTGTACACTGACCCTGACAGCTGGAGGTCACAGAGGTCACATGAGCAGAGGGGATGACACATTGTGACGTCCTCGATGCGCTCTCCTTCACTCAGCAGACGTTGCACCTCCTCCTCGTTTCCATTGGCGATGTGCTACAACACACACAGCGTCATGGCCCGAGTTACACAATCGCTACAGTCCGGTCCCGCAGTCCGGCCCCCCAGTCCGGCCCCCCAGTCTGGCCCCCCAGTCTGGCCCCCCAGTCTGGCCCCCCAGTCTGGCCCCCCAGTCTCCGTGAGCTCACCTCAAACAGGCGGTGGATGGGCGTGGCAGCGCTCTGACACAGCAGACTCATCCTCTCTTTGAACAGCGCCTTGTCGTTCAGCTCCCCGGAGCCCTGGGGGAGGGGACACGCTGAGTTAATTGAGGCGGGGGGCAGGGGGAAAAGGAAAAATCCCCCAGGCCAATGACTCACGGAGCGCGTGTCCTGCAGCTTCCCCAGGCTGATGTACTCCAGCGCGGCCTCGAAGGTGCTCAGGCAGTAGCTGAGCTCGTCTTTGCTGGAGAGGCTGAAGCAGAAGTTCCTGATGTAGCTCAGGTTGGCCATCCTGACAACACATAACGGTGAAGTGCAGATTAAACTCCCCCTCGTTCTTCAGGCATTGATGACAGAAAAGCTTCTTTGCACAGGCGTCAATCTCAACTCTTCTCTTCACTCTTCTCTTTATGACTGGCTGTGAGACGCCAACTGACCTCCAGCTTCCTGCCGAGTCATCACGCTAACTAGCTGACTGATCGGGTTAATGAATACTAATGTTCTCCTCCTATTTTACAGCCTTTACTGATGTATTTAATCCTTTGGGGTAAACAAGCATTATATTTAAAATGCTAATTAACTTTAGATTAAACTTGTGCAACAGAGCTATGCTTAATATAAATATGGATTCAATGAATTAAGCTCAACTCAGATTTTGTCAATGTTAGATTATATACAGACGGGGGGAGGGGGGAGGAGGGTGGGGGGGTGTAGACGGCAAACTGATTTCCTCTAAACAAGTAACAACCCCCACCCCCTCCCTTCTCACTCACCAGTTGGGGATTTCCGTCTTCACCAGCAGATAGAGGATGACGGAGAGCAGGTCGTCTGCACACACGGCCTCTATGCTGACTGCGCACACGCACACACACACACACACACTTATTCTTTTTGCAAAGAGCATTCTGAAGGACATTAGGGAAAATGCTTCAAAGTTCTGCTCCAGGAAACAAAAAAACAGGACGAATAGGTTGAATTCAAAGAAATGTATGCAGGTACCACTGCTGATCCAAGTTAAAATCCAGCAACAAATGATTGGTCTGTGTGATGAAAGCTTTGGGAAACTCTCCTGTGATGTCATTGCCGGTTTCTCTGACCCGCACTAAATAACTGGGAAAGGCATTTTGACTCGTCTTTATTCCATTTGTCTTAGTAGTGGAGTTAAGGAGCTACTTGGGATGTGATGCTTGGATGAGCTTCTGAAGGATGAACACGCGCTTAAAGTAATCATCTCAAATCGGCCGAGACACCCTGACACTTGTTTGTCCAAAACAAACAAACCACGCGGCTCACAGGGCGGGTTTAGATTTCCAAAGCAAACTGGACTAACCCACTTAAGGGCCTTTGAGAGCAGGTATTGTCCTGCCTGCTGACTGGGTTACAGACGGTTGGAGGAAGTTTGGGTCACGGAGAGTTCATGTGACCCTCTCAGGCCTCTGGACTACACAAAGAGTTTATTTTTACAGAGTTTTTTTCAGCTTAAATCATTTGTGACTGATGAACATTATCAGCTCAAAAAGCTAACAACCGTCTCTTTTCTTGTGATAACAGATTGATTATCTCGACAAAACTTGTTTTCCATAAGAGACACAGGCAGACACAGAGAGACACGGAGACAGACAGGCAGTACCTGTGCCCCGGGGGGTCTGGGTGGCGGTCAGGGCGACTCTGCGCAGGCAGAGCAGCTTGAGGAGGGGGGAGGTCTGCTGGTTGAGCTTACTCAGCTCCCTCTTTGCTCGAGACAAGTTTAAACTGAAGAAACACAGCAAGAGTTATACATCTACAGTAGAACAGTGGAAAATACCATTAGATACTTTGCATAATTAAAACGTAAACTTGAAATGCAATCAGCCCTTAGCCCCGCCCTAAAGCATCCCCTGCTTCATGGTCTGTTTGACTCTACATGGACCATAATTCACTCAACAAACATCATGCTGTATTGAAGACTTGAAAGTAGAGCTTGAGACCATGAACTCATGTTTACAATGTTTACTGAGGGAATAAATCAGAGAAGGAGTTGTTTCCCATAGACGTCTATGGGACCAGAGAAGTCGCCCCCTGCTGGTCACTAATAGGATTTCACAGCTGAACTGACCTGAACTCGGGCTTCACTCCCAGCTCGTTCTGCTGCAGCTCCTGAAGACTCCTGTTGGTTTTGTTGAAGGCGGCGTCCTGTTGGCCGGACACATTTCACCAGCGTGAAAACTACGTCAACGGGCCAGTTTGGCTGCACCGGTCTCCTCAACGGGACGCGTGCAACATTCCTGCAGTTATTTTGATGTTTAAGTGCTTTCTGTAGGCGGATCTATCGTTTCTATCAGAGTTCCGACCCACCTGATTGGCTTCCAGCGTTCCCACAAAGTTAAAAATTAAATCATGGATGCCATGATGAACATACATCTGGAACAAGAAGAAATAAAACATTTCAGTGAGCGGCTGTGAGAACGAGTCAGAACATCGGATTGATTACATCAGCGAGCCGTAACCGTGGTGACGACGAATGAGAGATGTTCGTTACGCACATCGTTGGCTGTACACTAGACTCAGTTAAAATGGGACAAAAGCTTAATTTTCCAACACGGTCGCTATGGAGACAGTGTTTTGTCCGTGGGCTCGGCTTTAACTTGACACCTCCCTGGAAGAAGAGAAGGAGAAACTGAGGGAGACCTTACCTCCACCGCCTGCTTGAGAAGACTCATCTGGACTTCCTGCTTCGCCAGAAGTTTCTGTGGAAGCAACAAGAAGCTGCGTCATCGGATCTCGAACGTCCTCGACTGTGACGGGTTAATAGCTTCATTCATACGTGTAGTTTGTCACCTATTCGGTCTTAAGGCGTTAAGCTCTCTACAAGGCCTCCTGTTCAGAGGGATGACGTTGTCCTGCTCGGAAATATTTCACCTTTTAATGTCTCGCTTCACACCGGCTTGTCTCGACCTGTCTCATTTAGGACTTTTGGTTCATGCTGCATTAAATTAAGGATATTTTAATTAGACCTCGACCTCGGAAACGGCCGTCAACAGTTCTCCATTCGCAGAGAAAGTCCATGCACCGAGCAGCTGAGGGTGCACTTGTTTCGGTCACCAGCTCAGCGGTAATAAACAGGAACCGGTAGTAAGAGGGTCAGGAGAAACGACACGCGTAAAGAAAGACTCACTTCCTGTGATCGGCGTCAGTACTCACCAGACGAGAGTCCCTCAGCAGACACTGGAGACATTTAGTGTACAGACCGTTGACCGAGTCCTGAGAGGAGAGGAGGTTTTAGTTACACACTCCTCTGTTACAGGGAGGAACTTGCTCTCCTACTGAGGTATAATGGGTCTCTATTCTATATATCTTTTTAAACTCAACCAGCAAATCAGCATTTGATTTTTGAAAAGATATTATTATGAAAAGATAACATTTCTTCAAGTAGTTTCAGACCACAAGCCCGACATTTGCTAAGAATGAAAAGGAGAAAGTGAGGCACGCTGCAGGAAGGTAAGAGATTAAAGTGAAATAAAATGAATAGAGGACAGATTAAAGCAGAAGACACAAAATTAGGACAAGGTTAGGAAAGGAAGCAACCGAAGGAAAGAGGACAAAGGGGACGATGAGGAAGTAGAATGACAGAGAGAAAACAGCAGGAGGGAAGAGGGAGGATATTTCCTACGATGTGGTGTCGGAGTCCCTTCCTCTCCTGCTCCCTGAAGGCCTGACAGAAGCCCTGGATGAATCTGTCCAGCTTCTGTCCGTGGCGTCCCAGGAAATCACGGACGTCCTCCAGGCTCCTCAGGCAGTAAGGGGGCGGCGGCCCGAGCTGGTCCTCGCTCGGCTCCGCCTCCACAGGCCTGGAGATGCACAGGATGCTGTAGCTCTGCTCCCGGTCGTTGTAGAAGGTCTCTTCGAACAGGATGGGGACTGAAGAGGGAGCCGGGAAGCCGGAGCCCAGCAGGACCTGCCGGTCCTGGATCGTGACCTCCTGGAACAACACCACCACCTCCAGTTATTAACGCCACGTTTCTGGAGTTTATAGAGTTTCTTTTTGTCGACAAAATGCCTTGAAAGATCCGAACAAACCACACAAAATAAATCTTATTTTCTAATCTTCTTTCTGTTTCAGATCTTTTTTCCACTCTCAGACCTTTGGCTGTGCTCTGGCTTGGGGGGCGTGGTGGCATCAGCGCAGGGGGCGTGGCATCACAAGTGCCAGCATAAGGAAGAGGACTAAAGCCTAGTTAATGCTTCTGCGTTTTCAGAGCGACGCAGACGCAAGCCCCCCTTGCGTGTCCCTTGCGTCGCTTTCCACACCTCCTTGTGTCCTTGTCGAGCCATTTATCTAGGCTTGCGTCGAAAGCTACGCAAGCGACGCAGCCTCCCGCAGCGCACCAGGCTGCGATTGGTCCGCTAACTGCATCCTTTACGGAGTCTCACATTTCCGCTTTCATATCCCAATACCGCCACTATTAAAACAAAGAATGTTTACGAGAGAACGGATCAGATTCAAGAACTTTTGTCGGAAGAAATGCGCAAATATGACCGCTTATACACGCCGTCATTGGTTGTATAAGCGGGTTGGATTCACGGAGGGAGATCGCCGCAGACGCCGGTTTGCCGGTCGAGAGGAACAAAGTTGTGGAGGAAAATACGGGACAAATGTGTCCGCGATGAAAAGCAGCAATGGCGATGCACGGGGCAATAAAGTCTATGATAAACAAATAAATAAATAAATAATCAAATAGACGTGACTCTCTAGGTCGTCTTCAACAAAACACATCACTCCGCCTGTGAATTGCTCTGCAACACACGCAGAACCATGAATTCAAACAAGTGCGACGACGCAATGACGCAGAAGCACGCGCCGGCAACAACCTTCTTCCCCTGTGTTGCCTTCAGGAACCGCGAGCATTGCGAATCATCACTTTCTATACATTGACCAGAGTAAAAACATCGTTTGAAGTGTGTGGCACAAGTAGCAGTAAAAGAGCAATAAGTTACGCCCGATCGTGCCTTCAACCACGCACTGCCACACCGCGCTGTGAGCGCCGTGTCCTCGTGAGGATCCCTCTGAGTCACTGCAGCTCGGTTATGTCGACTCACATCTGTCTAAGCAACAGTCTTTTTGTCTACTGGACTGTGGAAGGCCTCGTCACAGTGCGGCCCGGTCAGACTGATACGTTGGTATCGGATGGAGCTCATGAGGTGCAGCGGGACAAACCTTTCCGTCCACAGTCCGGTACCCGTCCCCCGCCGGCTGCAGGACATAGCTGTCGAATCGGGAGTCCGAGAAGCTGCTGGCGGTCAAACTCCCACAACGAGGCACAAGGACCTGCAGGCGATGTGGAGACAGACATTGTTCTTCATTTGATTTCAACAACTATTCTCTATTCATTTCAGTTAAAAACATTTGCCTATTGATCATAGACTTGTGACAGAACGTGACAACACTGTATAAAACAGAAAGAAAACTCCTTTACCAGAGAAAAATAAACAGGGTGTGAATCCTCTCTGAAGGCAGAGAGACGGACGGACAGACAGACAGAGACAGAGACAGACGGACTCACGATGCCGTGGAGTTCTGCCACGCGGCTGCAGAGGTCCGGTCTCTGCTTCTCCAGCGCCGAGTAGAACGGGTTCTTGAGGATGTTCTCGTCGTACAGAGCCATAAGCAGCCTCAGGTCGGGTCCTGGAGAGGAAGGACGGTTCTGATCCGTTCTGAGCTCTTCAAACTATGACGTCACGACCTCCCCGTGACATGGAGACAAGTCACTGAAGACATCTTGAATGAAAAGGTTGAAAACTATCTACACGCTGCAGATTTTAAAAAATCATAAATATCTAGAAATAGATTTTTGTTCACAGATGATAAATCGAAGATGTAAACCTAGCAAAGATCAGCTTATGGAACACGTGGAGAAAACTTTTTATCTGACAGCCACTTCTGAGCGTCGGATCAAAAACACGTGAGAAGCAGAAGATTCAAACGACGCCAGGCGCATGAATCATTAGAGTCTGATTACCGTTCCAATAATATTGCACTATTTTCCACAGTTTCTCCACAGTAGAATTCTTGGGATGCGTCGGCCTCACAAAGCTTTGACTTGAACAGATTCACAATCTAGCTTTAGTCTCTTTTTCAGTTTCAGCGGTATTTGCCCGTTATGTTGATGAGTTGGACTTTGCATCCAAAAGTCCAACTACTTCATTTGCTTCACTGATGTCTCTGAAATAGATAAACGTTTCACACTGTCTGCTTCCCCTTTTGAAAACAAACAATGCATCAATAATTCAACAAATTTTAACAATGGATTTATTTTAGGGAGCTGCTGGAGAACATGAACGTATTTCCAAAATGTCTCGGAGATGTTTCACCAACAAACCCGAAAAACTAAATATAAAATATACTCCTCCATCGAGGTGCAAATAAACAACGACCCACAATACAATCCGATAATAGAAATCCAACATAAGTGAACATGAATAAACACACACAGCAACAGAAACATCAACATGATAACTACAAGTGCTGAAACAATAGTAGTATTATTCTTAATGAAAAATATCTGATCTTCAAAACTCTTCATGTGATCAACTCACTTCATTGCTGCACGCGCACACACACCTCGTGACCTCACAAGGCTTAGCACTAACCGTGTAGGTCAGCGGCGTGGAGAAATGACCCCCCCAGCCCCCCTGGGTGTGTGTGAGGGCTCGATCGGGATGAACTTTTGTTGGAATAAACAAACGAATGAAAAAACGCCTTGCAGAGGTTGGTAACTAACCGAAGGAGAAAGGTTCTGGCTGTAGGATTTGGCGCCACATGAAAGCCAAGCGAAACTTGAGCCAGCGAGTAACCGAACGGATCCCGGCTCCTCCGGCGTGACGGTCGCAGAAAACACGTCACAGCATTTTAAGAAACTGCCCAATTGGGCTCATTTGAAATACTTGAAACTGGAGAACGAACATTTACAGGTTATTAAACCGTTCCCTTTTAATGGTTTTAATGGCTAACTTCTATGATAAAGTAGCCCATGGATGATAATGGGTTTACAGTTAATTACGTTGTGGAAGTTAGTTTATGGCGTTTCACCGGTGAAACTCGTCATTTTGTTTCCACGCCCTCTGGTGTTTCAGAGAAAAACGCTGTGTACAACCAGAATTTAGATCAGAGTGGACAATTTCAAGTGGATTTACAGTTGGAGGTTGTAGATTGTGCAGAAATAAATGCTGAATGCACAGAGCTTTCCCGAGTTTGTTTTTTCCAGCCCGGACTAAAACACTGTTTTTTTGTTGCGTGTGGTTCAATATGTGGATATTAATATGGCTCATAAAAAAATAAAAGTCATTAGTGAGCTGAATGCTAAAACCACCAGAGGGTTCCCAGCCTGGAGGAGACCACCCCATCACACACATAATGAGCATAATGTAATTAACAGGAGGCAAAGCGGACCTCTGACCTCTCTCTTACTCTTAAAACAAGCACAGTGCAGCACTTCAGCCTGAATAACCTTCCAGACAAAACAAGCCTCTGCAAAGCTACAGTCGCAGCTAACGACGGGATATATTTTCAAAATAAGACCGTTATTGACAAACACTTTGCAACATCTTCCAGTGCCACTAAATAGATGTACCTGTGAGATATACAAACCGACCACTGGGACCGTCAGTAGGCGTCCAGGTTGAAGCTCCTTTTCTATTTCAGCAAATAGTTTTCAAAGCAGCGGGTTTATTTTGTCGAACCAAACCCCTTTTAAAATTCTAGCACTTTAATGTTTCTTTGTTTGACACAGGCGCAGTGCACACAATACTTCCGATTCCTTGGCCAAAATAAACTATTCTAACTGACATTAACTTATTTATTTTTTACGTTGATAAACTGAAATCGAAACGAATACAAGTATAGGCAAGTCAAAACGTACTTTGATGTTACAATATGCAGTTCTGACAGTGAAGTTAACTATACGTTAAATGTTCCATTTTTTGACTGGAGTCTGGTAGGACGAGTCCGGCGGCTCGCGGCTTTGTGTGGTATTAGCGGTCGTCTTTAAATAACGGTTCACAAAACTCGCGTAGCCGGTGATATTTTAGATTATACGAACCGTTCAGCAACTTCCGTACTGAAGATTGACATATTCGGCTTCTAACGTGACTCGCCATCAGAACCGGGCACCGGAAGTTTCCCAATTAGCCCGCTAGCTGACAACAAAACAATATCAACCAGCGGAGAATGTAAAGCGTAGCCTAAAGACAGCACATCTGACGTTAGCTTATTAGCGTGTTAGCATGGGCAGCTAGCATTCCATCTAACAGAAGTAAAATATACCTGTTATTAGTTCCTCGGGTCATCCAGGCTTCAGCATGGCGGTGAAGAAACACCCACAGCGGACTGCCAGGAGCCGTCTACAGCGATCAGCCGGCTAACCAGCCGCGAAACCTCAGCCGCTGGTCCGGGTTGCCAGACTGAGAGGAAACGCGTAAAACCAGCTGTGAGAAAAGTGGTCCCGGGTTGCCAGACTGAGAGGAAACGCGTAAAACCAGCTGTGAGAAAAGTGGTCCCGGGTTGCCAGACATCGGAAAGGAAACATGTGAAACAGGCGGAGAAAAAGGGGTCGCTTTTACCGTGAAAACTCATTTCCGCCGATGTGATGGAGAAAGAAAGATTGAGTCTTTATGATGAGATGAAAACATTTACATCAAAAAAGTATTTTTAGATTATCAGTGTTGTGATATGAGAGCGTGATATAAACGTTCTTATAAATATTATTTCAAAATAAGAGAAACTTAGACCTCTCCTCCATCTGTCCTCATCCTTCTGGACCTTTCTGCTGCATTTGACGAAGTAAACCACCAGATGCTTATCTCCTTCCTTCAGGAACTTCGGTCACTAGGTGTTACTGGAGGACACGGAAAACAAACCAGTACACTGGTTCCCATTCACATTCTTAACTCAACTAACTCAAGTTAAGCAACAAAACCTTTATTTAAACAGGTTAGTCTTATTGAGATCTTTTCCAACGAGATCCATAAAAAACATCTGCAATACGTAAAACATACCGTGTTTAATATTTTTAACATTTAAAACAAAGAAAAGGAGGACAAGGGATAACGAAAGTAAAAGCTCATGTTGTTTGATGTCATAAGATCGTGAGGAGGAGACTGTAGAGGAGGAGAGATTACTTATTTGCTCAAGTGAAAGTAAAGTTGGTGTGAGCGACGCAGAGCTGCAGTCCAGACGAGTCTCTCTGTTTCTCTCTAAAGAAACAACTGAATCCAGCAGCTTTTCATCAACAACACAACAGGATCTCTGACAAACTCTGGTGAGTACGCTGCTCTACAAAGACTAGATGTAATTAAAATGTGCTTTTAAAGAGAAATAAACACTTAAATAAACACACTAAATAATAAGAAATAAGTATCCGAGACCAACAGGGCCCGCTAAAAGCTTACTAAAAGTTAAACGTATATTATCTGATTTTATCTTATGACTTGAATCCCCTATTACGGCTTCAATCTGACATTATACAAGCTGTTACATCATCCTTTGAACCTCAAAAATATCGACTGTGGTCAAACATCAGGGATTAACATGAAACCTCAGAACTACTCGGACAGGAATTCCACTCGACCGATGTTTAGCTGAGAAACGATGTAATTATAAATGCATAATGTGCTAAAACATCTCATTCATAAAGGGCGTAGGCTCCGTGAAACAAAAAGTGTTTGTGAGAACAAAAGACGGAAACAGAAAGTACAAGTTGGACTGGTGGAGCCGGATGAGCCTCCTCTTTGCTTCTGTACACACCCACATTCAATGAATGAAGAGCAGGTCTTTGATTTTAAGAAGTTTAGCCTACTTTGAAAATGTATTTTCCTCTCGTAAGGATGTAAGACGCAGAGTAGCAGAACTATTGAAATATTTAATGTGCAATGTGACAGAAATGGAGGCGTCACTTTGTGTTTTGGGGTCTAACATTATTTCTGTTTAGATTATGATCCAAACAATAACCAGATGAGTTTGGATGTTATCACTGCGATGCTGAAGACACCACATTGGTCCATCAACAGTAGATTCATGTTCCTAGTTGATACTATTTGTTCAACTAAACGTGTTACTTATTGCAGATCCAGATTTACTCAAAACATAATAAACACTTAATGATGCATTATTTTCGATTAAAACTAATCCAACATCAGTTTAGAATTGAATCTCCACATTGAACTGACTTACAGTAACTTGAAGCACAGCGTGCTGATGCTGCCTTTTCTTCTTCTCTCCACTTCATTTAATGCACTTTCACTTTGAGCTTCTTGAAGGTTTTATTGTTGGTTATTAAAGGAGTAAACGTTTTATTTGTGTCTCACTTGTTGTCCTCAGAGTGTCGATATGTCTGCTGCCAGCTGTCTGCTGACTGAAGATCAGTTCCTGTGCTCCATCTGTCTGGACGTGTTCACTCATCCAGTCACCATACCATGTGGACACAACTTCTGTAAAGCCTGCATCACTGACCACTGGAACGTTAATGCCCCGTCTAACTGTCCCAACTGTAAAAAGATTTTCTACACCAGACCTGAGCTGCAGGTCAACACGTTCATCTGTGAGATGGCTGCTCAGTTCAGACTGTCAGCTCAGCAGAAAGCCAGCAGCAGCAGCTCAGAGCAACAAGCTGCCCAACCAGGAGAAGTTCCCTGTGACGCCTGCACTGGACCCAAGGTGAAGGCCCTCAAGTCCTGCCTGGTGTGTCTGGTCTCCTACTGTGAGGCTCACCTGGAGCCTCATCTGACTACGTCAGGTCTGAAGAAACATCAGCTGATGGACCCTGTGGAGAACCTGGAAGGCAGGATGTGTACGAAGCACGATAAACTGCTGGAGCTGTTCTGTAAGACCGACCAGATGTGTGTCTGCATGCTCTGCACTGTTTTAGACCACAAGAACCATGAGTATGTTCCTCTGAGAGAAGAATATGAAGGAAAGAAGGCCGAGCTGGGGAAGACTGAGGCTGAAGTCCAGCAGATGATCCAGAAGAGACGACTGAAGATTCAGGAGATCAAACACTCAGTGGAGCTCAGTGAGGAAGCAGCAGACAGAGAGGTAGCAGAAGGTGTCCTGGTCTTCAGCGCTCTGAAGGAGTCTGTTGAGAGAAGCCAGGCGGAGCTCGTCGACACCATCAAAGAGAAGCAGAGAAAGACCCAGAAACAGGCTGAAGGCTTCATCAAAGAGCTGGAACAGGAGATCTCTGAGCTGAAGAAGAGAAGCACTGAGGTGGAGCAGCTCTCACACTCTGAAGACCACCTCCACCTCCTCCAGAGCTTCAGGACCCTGAACACTGCTCCACCCACCAAGGACTGGACAGGAGTCAGAGTCAGTGCACCTTCATATGAGGGGACTGTGGTGAGAGCTGTGCACCAGCTGGAGAAGAAGCTCAGTAAACAGATGAAGAAGCTGCTGGAGGTCGAGCTGAAGAGAGTCCAGCAGTCTGCAGTGGATGTGACACTTGATCCTGATACAGCACATCCTCAACTCATCCTGTCTGATGATGGAAAACAAGTTAAACATGGAGATGTAAAGAAGAATCTCCCAGACAATCCAGAGAGATTTAATCAGTGTGTTGTTGTTTTAGGAAAGCAGAGTTTCTCTTCAGGTAGATTTTACTACGAGGTTCAGGTTAAAGGGAAGACTGGCTGGGATTTAGGAGTGGTGAGAGAGTCCATCAACAGGAAGGGAAGCATCTCACTGTCTCCTCAGAATGGTCACTGGACGATATGTTTGAGGAATGAGAATAGTTACTCTGCTTTTGCTGGACCATCAGTCGATCTCTCTCTGGAGTCCCGGCCTGAGAAGGTGGGGGTGTTTGTGGATTATGAGGAGGGTCTGGTCTCCTTTTATGACGTTGGTGCTGCAGCTCTGATCTACTCCTTTACTGGCTGCTGCTTCACTGAGAAACTCTACCCATTCTTTAGTCCAGGTCTTAATAATAATGGTACAAACTCTGCTCCTCTGATCATATCTGCTGTCAATCACACTGAGTAGAACAAAAGGTTTTAACTTAACATTTAAATAATTTTTTGACGTCACAGCTGAAAAACCCTTTTCTCTTTTCTATCACATGTCAACTTTGACGGGACAATCACGTCCTTCAAACCTTCTAAACCTCCACAGAAATGGAGTGAAAAGACAAAACCTTTGATAAAGTCCAGGAGATAAATTGAACGTTGCTGTTTATAAACAGAGATGGAAGCTGTCAGACAACTGATGATCTTTTCGTGAACTGGATGCTTTATAATTGTTAATCAATGATTATGTCATAAAGAGAAACGGGCCTTGAGTTAATTTCTTGTTTGTTGATCATCTGTCCTGTGAATCACAGAGAGGAACCTTTTAATTTCCTACAGAAAGATTCTCAATCATTTCTTGAAATAAGTGAATATGTATTGCTCAGTACATTGGTGTTTTTATGATTATGATGATTAACTTTTTTTTCTCTGTTTTTCGCTGATGCGTCACATTTGCTATTTGTTACAACACAACAGCAGCAGCAGAGAGGACTTTAATATCTTGATGTTCAGTGTTTGCATTGATAGGACTTGATCTCAGCTAATTGTTTTATTATCTTTATGTTAATGTTGCAGCTAACACAAATTTGCTATTAACTCTTTAAAGCCCAGGCTTAAACATGTTGTATTATTCCTAAATCTGATCTGCTCAATTCCCATTTCCCTCCATGTTAAAATGAACAACGTTACAGCAGAGATAAACAAGTTTATATGGCAACAAAACAACCTCTGTGGTCTGAATAAATGAACAGTGAATCCTCTACGCGCCTCCTCCTGTGCTCACTGTTACCTATTTGTTAAGTAAAAACAGAATTAAAGATGCCGACTTTTGACTAAAATACCAAACTTTAGACTTAAAACGTCAAAACTCCACTTCTTATATCCAGACTACGTGGCTCTGTCATCTCTGAGACCACGTCTGTGTTGTAATCGGGCTCATGGGCTTCCTGCAGTCAACAGTAGACACATTTAGCTTCTTGTAGTTCAAACACCTGCAGAAACAAACCAAACTTGGACTTGTTTGAGTGCCGAGGTGCATCCACGTCATTCCCCCCAAACGCCCCTGGTGGAATAAGGACCCGGAGTTGAACCATCAGGTTCCAGCAGCAGTGTCTTTGTGGAAGAAGCCGTGGATCTGCTGAGCCGCAGCCTGACCCACGATGGGCTCTAGCTGGGCGGGGGCGGCGTTGCAGAGCTGCTGGATGCTGGAGAACCGCTCCAGGAGGGCCAGAGCTTTGACCCGGCCGACCCCGGGGACATGCTGCACCAGAGCCAGGACCAGCGGGTCCAACAGCCGGGACGAGGTCCTCCTCCTGAAGGGGTTCTCTCTGCCGACCCCATGGACCTGAGATGGTGGGACAGTCAGCGTTAGACCCTAGAAATGTAAACAACAGGTCGCTGATAGGAGGACTGCTGTCAGAGTCCAGACGCATTCCTGCTCAAACCCACGACTACACCTGATAAATTATTAAACATTATTACGTCTTAGGGAAGGGTTTCTATTTGAACAGCAGAGCTTTTCTAAAAGTCACATGGCTGGAAACCCACAGAAATAATGTAATACTTTAAAATGATCCCATGGGACGCTGCTCAGCCAATCAAATCTTGGCTGTCAGATAACGCGTTGCGTCTCGAGTCAGTAAGTAAGACGCACACGGAGAAAGTCGAACAAATGAAACCGCCATCCGTCCCGAGTACTCACGATCTGCGCGATGAGCTGCGAGGCCTCGGCCTGCCCGCCGACTGGCAACAGGGTCAGGCCGAGGTCAAACACCACCAACTTCTGCATGGCGCCGAAGTACTGCTCACTCAGTCGGGTTTTCTCCACCAGAACCAGCTCCTGGAAGCCGTGGCTGCTGGTCTTTAAAGAAGAAGTGGGGGAGGGTACAGCAAGTTCACATCGGTAGAAACAAACCACTACGTCTCGTTCCCCAAACTTACATTTCTGTAGCGGACCAATTTCCTCTTGTAGCTGTTTCCAGCCACCACGTCGCACTCGGACACGTACAGCACGCAGCTCTTGTTGGGCAGGTGGAAATCTGCCAAGCCGAGCTCGTCCTCGAAGAGGATCCTCACGCCGCCGCCTGCAGCAGAAGCCAAAGCCTGTCAGTGACAATGGAGACTGGAAACGGATGGGAAAACACTGTTGTCCTTTCTGCAGGGACATGCTGTATTTGACGAGACAATGATAAACCTCTTTGACAGCATCACGTACCAGTTAAAGCCCATTTTAAATAATGAGAAGCAGAAACAGGGGGTGTGCTGCATCAAACTTATGTTTATGGTCATCACTTTCTATACATTGACCAGAGTGGCAGTAAAAACATCGTTTTTGAAGCGTGTGGCAGTTTGAAGTAGCAGTAAAAGAGCAATAAGTTACGCCCGATCGTGCCTTCAACCACGCACTGCCACACCGCGCTGTGAGCGCCGTGTCCTCGTGAGGATCCCTCTGAGTCACTGCAGCTCGGTTATGTCGACTCACATCTGTCTAAGCAACAGTCTTTTTGTCTACTGGACTGTGGAAGGCCTCGTCACAGTGTGGCCCGGTCAGACTGATACGTTGGTATCGGATGGAGTTCATGAGGTGCAGCGGGACAAACCTTTCCGTCCACAGTCCGGTACCCGTCCCCCGCCGGCTGCAGGACATAGCTGTCGAATCGGGAGTCCGAGAAGCTGCTGGCGGTCAAACTCCCACAACGAGGCACAAGGACCTGCAGGCGATGTGGAGACAGACATTGTTCTTCATTTGATTTCAACAACTATTCTCTATTCGTTTCAGTTAAAAACGTTTGCCTATTGATCATAGACTTGTGACAGAACGTGACAACACTGTATAAAACAGAAAGAAAACTCCTTTACCAGAGAAAAATAAACAGGGTGTGAATCCTCTCTGAAGGCAGAGAGACGGACGGACAGACAGACAGAGACAGACGGACTCACGATGCCGTGGAGTTCTGCCACGCGGCTGCAGAGGTCCGGTCTCTGCTTCTCCAGCGCCGAGTAGAACGGGTTCTTGAGGATGTTCTCGTCGTACAGAGCCATAAGCAGCCTCAGGTCGGGTCCTGGAGAGGAAGGACAGTTCTGATCCGTTCTGAGCTCTTCAAACTATGACGTCACGACCGCCCCGTGACATGGAGACAAGTCACTGAAGACATCTTGAATAAAAAGGTTGAAAACTATCTACACGCTGCAGATTTTAAAAAATCATAAATATCTAGAAATAGATTTTTGTTCACAGATGATAAATCGAAGATGTAAACCTAGCAAAGATCAGCTTATGGAACACGTGGAGAAAACTTTTTGAACATGAATAAACACACACAGCAACAGAAACATCAACATGATAACTACAAGTGCTGAAACAATTGTTGGAGCCATTCTGAATACGGCAATGGGATGGCGCTGTTTTTGCCACCAGCCTATTTAACGCCAGGGCTAATTAGTGCAGGTGTGGCGCACAGCGAGGCAGATAACTTTTGACCGTGAGGCACGGCGGATTGGGAACCGAATTGTTTGTTATTTTTGTTATAAATAAATGGATTAACATATCCGATGTTAAGTTCAGAAGTTTTGAAAGTAAGTTATTTTTATTTTAAGACACAAACAATTCGCCGGAAAACACGAGTACAAAACAACTTAAATGTGCGCCAACAATTAGTCAAAAGTTTGGCTCAGTATGAGAAAAAGACCGATCAAGTTTAGACGGCACGATCCTTGTGCTGTTTGAGCACCTTGTCTTCGACGGCGATCGGCTGAATGGAAACGCTGTCGCGTGCTTTGGATATAGCGTTAGTCGTATTCTACGGGCGCAGCGCGTCTCACATTGGACAGTGGAGCAAACCACGCAGCCACGGGCGGAGATCGGTGATCGGTAGCGGGGATCGGCGGCGGAGGACGGTGACCGGTAGCGGGGATCGGCGGCGGAGGACGGTGACCGGTAGCGGATGTCGGTGAAACTACGCTGGAGCCTCACAGTGGATAGTGAGGCAGTCCGAACTCGGTCACGACGGAGGTTGGTGAGCGTTCTCACATTGGTCAGTGAGGATTGGACACTACGTCACCAAGGGAAGAAAAGTTGGTTGGACCTGGAACGTGCCGCGAGGTATGAGCAGTTAACACACACGAGTAAGAAGGAATGAAGCAGAGCTGCCTGCAGTTATTAAAGTGTAAACGGCAGGACTAACGAGAACACAATGGATGGACATTTGGTTTATCGACATTGACATTTTCCAACGAGGACTTGAAATAAGAAACATTTGGGTTTGCAAGAAAATGAAAGTGTTAATGGTTTGTTTTTTATTCTGATGCTCGTTTTCATGATATTGTGAAATATTGCTGTTTCTGGGTGGTTGACTGGAAAACAAGGTAAAATGGATGAAGATCATCAAGGTAGTGAGGTAACAAATGTGTCAGCTGACTTACAAAAGGTTAATAAGGATGAAGCCTCTGTGAAAAAAAGGTCTGTAAAATTGACACAAAAAGTACTGCTTTCCAAACTAGGTGGCTTAGAGACACTAAGGAAATCCAAGTTAAGTAAAGCTGCCAATATAAAACAAACTGTTCAAGGGTTAATGTGTCAGTCTGGTTATGAAGCTGAAATAAAAGGTAGCTTCAGCAAATATCAAGCCTTGATAAAAGACGCAAAAGTTGCACATAACCAACTGCTTGAGTTGCTACCCGTAGATGAAAAGGAAAGGCATGAAACCTGGTTCAAAGCAAAGCTGTTAAGTGTGAACGAATTTTGCCATTGCGTAGAAAATCGTTTTAAGAGTGCAAATAATGGTACTACTGAAACCGTTGCCCTTGAGGATGATATAAAGCCAACGGATAGTGTATCAAATGTTGGTACATCATCATGCACTAAAAGCCGTACCAGTGAAAGATCAAGTCGATCAAGCAAAGCTGCATTGGAAGTTGCACACGCGCAAGCAAAAGCCAGGAAAGCTGCACTCATAGCACGTGCAGCAGCGTTAAAAAAGAAACATGAATTGGAAAGAGAGGTGGAATCAATAAGGAAAAAACTGGAACAGGTGGAAATGGATGCTGAGATTGAAGCCTCAGATGCAGAATTGGCAGTACTGCAAACATTTTCAGATCAGGATGGTATGGAGTCGTACATTGAGAAGCAAAAATCAAAAGAAAGCCCTAACGTTTCTGAGGCGAAGTTTGAAAAATCTACAAGATTGATGAGTAATAAAGGTTTATCTACTGCTAATGTTGCACATGCAGTTGATGACAATTCTACACAACAGATTCTGCAAAGGCAAAATGAAATATCCGAGCTGCTCTTACAACAACACAAAGCAAGCCAACTGCCACCTAGACAACTACCTGTTTTCGAAGGTGACCCATTGAAGTTCAAAATGTTCATGCAAGCTTTTAAGCATTGTGTGGAGGAGAAAGCTGCATCTAAAGGGGATTGCATGTATTTTTTGGAAAGGTACACCAGGGGGCGTCCTCACGACCTTGTGCAAAGCTGTTTACATATGAGTGCGGAGAGAGGTTTTGAAACAGCTAAAGCTCTCCTACGGGAACACTTCGGCAATGAAACAAAGATTACAGCAGCATATATGGAAAAGGTTCTCAACTGGCCTGTGGTGAAGCCTGAAGGGGTTTTGTTTCTACAGGACTATGCATTATTTCTACGTGGATGCTATAATGCAATGTCAGATTTGGAGGACATGAAAGAGCTGGACTTGCCGGCTAACCTCAAAACTATTGTTTCAAAACTTCCTTTTAAGTTGAGGGAAAAATTTAGAAGTTCTGCTTGCGGTATTCGGGAGCGACAACTCCGCAAACCTAACTTTAAAGACGTTGTACACTTTTTGGAATATGAAGTAAAAATCTTGTCTGATCCTATTTTTGGTGATATTCAATCTACTGAAAGAGCGAGGCAGGTTAAAAGGGATGTGTATACAGCCAAGCCTAGGTCGAAGCAAGGTAACTTTGCTACAAACGTCTGTGCTGTTAGCAAAGTGCAACACAGGGAGAGCAACATCGGCATCAATTGTTTATTCTGTTTGCAAGATCACAGTCTGGATGAATGTCAACAACTTGCAAAAAACAAACATCGTGAAAAGATCAACTTCTTAAAGGAAAAGGGAGTATGTTTTGGGTGTCTCAACATTGGGCATTTGAGCAAAAATTGCGATAAGCGGAAAACCTGTGAAAAATGCAAACAGAGCCATCCAACAGCTTTACACATTCACGTCAAACAAGTGGACAAATCGATGAACAGCAGTGGCATCTATCCCAAGGAACCTAAACCAGCTGTAAACCATACGCTTGTGTCAGCTCAGACATTTGGGAGCCAGACCGGGGCCGGTGGTAGTGGAATGCTCTCCATCCTGCCAGTTCAGGTAAAAGCACAAAAGGGCAACAAGGTCATTCAGACTTATGCTTTTCTGGAGAATGGCTCGACATCCACATTCTGCTCTGAAGTTCTTATGCGTAGACTTAATCTTACTGGAACAAAGTCAAAAATAGGTTTGTTAACGATGAGCCCAAAGACATCAGTGTCAGCATACATTGTGAATGGACTTGAAGTAGCTAGCCTTAATGGAACAAGGTACTACAGTCTTCCAAATGTTTACACACAGAAAAAGATGCCAGTTGACACAGAAAACATCATAAAACCAGAGGACATATCACAGTGGCCTTACCTTGATCACATTGAAATCCCTGAAATTGATGCTACCGTGGAGTTATTAATAGGTACTAATGCTTCAAAGTTGCTAGAACCATGGGAAATTGTGAATAGCCAAGGTGAGGGTCCTTTTGCTGTTAAAACCCTATTAGGATGGGTGATCAATGGCTTAGGAAAGGATTCCAAAGACAATAGGAATGGCATTGGCTATCCTTCTGTTTCTGTAAACAGATTATCTGTAGAATCACTTCAGCTGTTATTGGAGAAGCAGTACCAAAGTGACTTCAATGAGAAAATCGCCGACGACAATGAAGAAATGTCAAGGCAAGAGGCAAGATTCATTAAAATAATGGATCAATCTGTAAAGTTAAAGGACGGACATTACAGTTTAAAGCTGCCATTTAAAGCCCAAGAGGTAACTTTGCCAAACAACCGTTGTATTGCTCAACAGCGCCTCATTGGACTAAGAAGGAAAATGGAAAGAAATGAGAAATTCCACCAAGAATACACAAGCTTTCTTGAAAATGTCATCAGTAGTGGCTATGCAGAAATGGTACCACAGGATGAATTGCGTTGTGGAGAAGATAACCTGTTCTATATACCTCATCATGGAGTATATCACCCACGGAAGGGTAAGTTGCGAGTTGTCTTCGACTGTGGAGCTAAGTTTAAAGGAACTTCTTTGAACGAACAACTTCTGCAGGGTCCGAACCTTACAAGTTCCTTAATAGGAGTGTTTCTACGATTCAGACAAGAACCAGTTGCTTTTATGTCTGATGTGAAGTCTATGTTCTATCAAGTTAGAGTGGCCGACAAAGACAAAGACTTTCTAAGGGTCCTGTGGTGGACTAATGGAGATCTGCACAAGCAAGTTGAAGAATATAGAATGACTGTACATCTCTTTGGAGCAGTGTCGTCGCCTAGTTGTGCATGTTATGCTCTAAGGAAGACAGCAGAGGACAGTCGGAATGGGTTTTCGGAGGAGGTGATTGACACGGTATATAAAAATTTCTATGTGGACGATTGTCTGAAAAGCTCACCGTCTGTGCAGAAAGCAGTACAGATTGTCCAGGACCTGACTGAACTTTGCCAGAAAGGAGGGTTTCATCTTACACAGTGGATAAGTAGCAGTCGCAAAGTCCTTGAAACAATTCCTGAGAAAGAACATTCTAAAAGTGTGAGTGAACTAAATTTGGACATAGACCAACTTCCGGTGGAAAGGGCACTGGGGCTACATTGGTGTCTGGAAAATGACAAGTTTAACTTCCATGTGAACTGCAAAGAACGGATGCAAACACGGCGAGGGATTCTATCAGTCACTAGTGCAGTGTACGATCCCTTAGGGTACGTTGCGCCAGTCCTTCTTCCAGCCAAGCACATATTACAAGAGTTGTGCAAAAGGAACTATGGCTGGGATGAAGAAGTTCCACAAACCTTAAAACAGCAGTGGATAAAGTGGCTAACTGACCTGAAAGAGATCTCAGAGTTCCGAGTGAGTAGGTGCTTGAAACCACATGACTTTGGAACACCAGTCCACGCCCAGTTGCATCACTTTGCCGATGCCAGCGAAAGGGGATATGGCACGGTAACTTACCTAAGGTTACAGAACAAAGCAGGTCATATTCATATTTCCTTTCTTCTTGGAAAGTCCAGAGTAACACCTCTTAAACCCGTAACCATTCCTCGTTTGGAACTCACTGCTGCCGTTTTAGCTGTTCGAGTGGACAGGATGGTAAAATCAGAGTTACAGCTTTCTTTGTCAGAATCCTGTTTCTGGACTGATAGTACTACAGTCTTGAAGTACATCAGCAATGAAAACAAAAGGTTTCGAACATTTGTGGCCAACAGAGTAGCCATCATTAGGGAATCTTCAGAGCCAGCACAGTGGCGCTATGTTCACACAAAACAAAATCCTGCAGATGACGCATCTAGAGGACTGACAGTCCATAAGCTTTTGAACAGCAAAACATGGCTATCAGGTCCAGAATTCCTGTGGAGAGCAAGAGAAACATGGTTACAGTACGAAGTGGAGTCCACATTGGAGGAGGATGATCCAGAGGTCAAAGTGGAAATCTCCACAAACGCAATAACCATTCAAGAGGATAATGCAACCAGCCAACTCATCACCTATTTCTCTGACTGGAAAAGGTTGAAAGTTGCAGTTGCATGGTTGCTGTTGGTCAAAGGGACTCTATTGGAGTTGAGTCAAAGAAGGAAGCAACTTGTGAAAGATGGAATGGCTAATCTTGATGTTGACAGAAAAATGTTGGAAGCCAGAAGGTCGTTCAAACGAGAACGTGTATCAACGGAGGATCTATTAGCAGCAGAAAACGCTATCCTTCAGTTCTGTCAGAGGGAAAGATTTGACACTGAGATTTGTGCACTAAAGGCAGGAAAACCTGTAAAAGGGTGTAGCCCTATCTACAAGCTGAATCCTGTCTTAGAGGAAGGACTGGTAAGAGTTGGTGGAAGATTGTCCAGGACTGCAATGCCCGAAGAGAGCAAACATCCAGTCATCCTGTGTAAAGATCAGCACATCTCCATGTTAATTCTTAAAAATATTCATGAACAGACAAGACACGGTGGGAGAAATTACATCCTTTCCAAATTGAGAGAGAAGTTCTGGGTCACTCATGCCAATGCAGCAGCAAGGAAAATCTTGTCAAATTGTCCTTTTTGCAGACGTCACCAAGGAAAATTGTGTGATCAAAAGATGTCGGATCTTCCCAAAGAGAGGATTACTCCAGACTTCCCTCCATTTACTAACGTGGGTGTGGACTATTTTGGGCCTATTGAGGTAAAACAAGGACGTTCTTATGTGAAACGTTATGGAGTTATCTTTACATGCATGGCCAGCAGGGCAATTCATTTAGAAGTGGCACACTCGTTAGACACAGACTCCTGCATCAGTGCTATTCGTCGATTCATATGCCGAAGAGGACCCGTGGCACACTTTCGCTCAGATAATGGCACAAATTTCACAGGTGCAGAAAAGGAACTAAAAAGAGCAATTGCAGATTTAAACCACAGATCAATTGAGAAGGCTTTAATTCATGACAATATCAAGTGGACGTTCAACCCACCTGCAGCTTCCCATCATGGCGGTGCTTGGGAAAGCATGATCAGACTGGTCAGGAAGGTCTTGGTATCTGTTTTACATCTACAGACTCTAACTGATGAAACGTTAGTCACAGTCTTATGCGAAGCCGAAGCAATCTTGAATGACCGACCAATTACGAGAGTTTCTGAGGATCCTAATGATTTAGAGCCACTAACACCTAATCATCTTCTTACTTTGAAAAGAATACCAGTTTTGCCTCCAGGTCTGTTTGATCAAAAGGACCAGTACGTAAGACGAAGATGGAAACAGGCTCAGTATCTTTCAGATTTGTTCTGGAAAAGGTGGACGAAAGAGTATCTTGCAACGCTACAGGAAAGACAAAAGTGGAACAAAACACAACGTAATCTTATGGAAGGAGATATTGTTTTGATTGCAGATGCTACAGCACCACGAAATTCTTGGATGATTGGAAGGATTATTAAATCCTTTCCAGACAAATCAGGCATAGTTAGATCTGTGCAAATCCAAACCAAAACAAATGTAATTGAAAGACCAGTGACAAAACTAGGACTATTGGTAGAGCAGTCAATGTAAAAGTAAAACAAATGCACCAAAAGAGGGTTGATTTGCTTTTGTTTATTATTTTTGTTTGCAAACGTTGTTTTTGTTGTATGAATGTCTCCATACATGAATTGTTTATAATTGTCATGTCTTGAAGTGCCATGAACAATTAGGGGCCGGTTGTGTTGGAGCCATTCTGAATACGGCAATGGGATGGCGCTGTTTTTGCCACCAGCCTATTTAACGCCAGGGCTAATTAGTGCAGGTGTGGCGCACAGCGAGGCAGATAACTTTTGACCGTGAGGCACGGCGGATTGGGAACCGAATTGTTTGTTATTTTTGTTATAAATAAATGGATTAACATATCCGATGTTAAGTTCAGAAGTTTTTGAAAGTAAGTTATTTTTATTTTAAGACACAAACAATTCGCCGGAAAACACGAGTACAAAACAACTTAAATGTGCGCCAACACAATAGTAGTATTATTCTTAATGAAAAATATCTGATCTTCAAAACTCTTCATGTGATCAACTCACTTCATTGCTGCACGCGCACACACACCTCGTGACCTCACAAGGCTTAGCGCTAACCTTGTAGGTCAGCGGCGTTGAGAAATGACCCCCCCAGCCCCCCTGGGTGTGTGTGAGGGCTCGATCGGGATGAATTTTTGTTGGAATAAACAAACGAATGAAAAAACGCCTTGCAGAGGTTAGTAACTAACCGAAGGAGAAAGGTTCTGGCTGTAGGATTTGGCGCCACATGAAAGCCAAGCGAAACTTGAGCCAGCGAGTAACCGAACGGATCCCGGCTCCTCCGGCGTGACGGTCGCAGAAAACACGTCACAGAATTTTAAGAAACTGCCCAATTGGGCTCATTTGAAATACTTGAAACTGGAGAACGAACATTTACAGGTTATTAAACCGTTCCCTTTTAATGGTTTTAATGGCTAACTTCTATGATAAAGTAGCCCATGGATGATAATGGGTTTACAGTTAATTACGTTGTGGAAGTTAGTTTATGGCGTTTCACCGGTGAAACTCGTCATTTTGTTTCCACGCCCTCTGGTGTTTCAGAGAAAAACGCTGTGTACAACCAGAATTTAGATCAGAGTGGACAATTTCAAGTGGATTTACAGTTGGAGGTTGTAGATTGTGCAGAAATAAATGCTGAATGCACAGAGCTTTCCCGAGTTTGTTTTTTCCAGCCCGGACTAAAACACTGTTTTTTTGTTGCGTGTGGTTCAATATGTGGATATTAATATGGCTCATAAAAAAATAAAAGTCATTAGTGAGCTGAATGCTAAAACCACCAGAGGGTTCCCAGCCTGGAAGAGACCACCCCATCACACACATAATGAGCATAATGTAATTAACAGGAGGCAAAGCTGACCTCTGACCTCTCTCTTACTCTTAAAACAAGCACAGTGCAGCACTTCAGCCTGAATAACCTTCCAGACAAAACAAGCCTCTGCAAAGCTACAGTCGCAGCTAACGACGGGATATATTTTCAAAATAAGACCGTTATTGACAAACACTTTGCAACATCTTCCAGTGCCACTAAATAGATGTACCTGTGAGATATACAAACCGACCACTGGGACCGTCAGTAGGCGTCCAGGTTGAAGCTCCTTTTCTATTTCAGCAAATAGTTTTCAAAGCAGCGGGTTTATTTTGTCGAACCAAACCCCTTTTAAAATTCTAGCACTTTAATGTTTCTTTGTTTGACACAGGCGCAGTGCACACAATACTTCCGATTCCTTGGCCAAAATAAACTATTCTAACTGACATTAACTTATTTATTTTTTACGTTGATAAACTGAAATCGAAACGAATGCAAGTATAGGCAAGTCAAAACGTACTTTGATGTTACAATATGCAGTTCTGACAGTGAAGTTAACTATACGTTAAATGTTCCATTTTTTGACTGGAGTCTGGTAGGACGAGTCCGGCGGCTCGCGGCTTTGTGTGGCATTAGCGGTCGTCTTTAAATAACGGTTCACAAAGCTCAAGTAGCCGGTGATATTTTAGATTATACGAACCGTTCAGCAACTTCCGTACTGAAGATTGACATATTCGGCTTCTAACGTGACTCGCCATCAGAACCGGGCACCGGAAGTTTCCCAATTAGCCCGCTAGCTAACAACAAAACAATATCAACCAGCGGAGAATGTAAAGCGTAGCCTAAAGACAGCACATCTGACGTTAGCTTATTAGCGTGTTAGCATGGGCAGCTAGCATTCCATCTAACAGAAGTAAAATATACCTGTTATTAGTTCCTCGGGTCATCCAGGCTTCAGCATGGCGGTGAAGAAACACCCACAGCGGACTGCCAGGAGCCGTCTACAGCGATCAGCTGGCTAACCAGCCGCGAAACCTCAGCCGCTGGTCCGGGTTGCCAGACTGAGAGGAAACGCGTAAAACCAGCTGTGAGAAAAGTGGTCCCGGGTTGCCAGACATCGGAAAGGAAACATGTGAAACAGGCGGAGAAAAAGGGGTCGCTTTTACCGTGAAAACTCATTTCCGCCGATGTGATGGAGAAAGAAAGATTGAGTCTTTATGATGAGATGAAAACATTTACATCAAAAAAGTATTTTTAGATTATCAGTGTTGTGATATGAGAGCGTGATATAAACGTTCTTATAAATATTATTTCAAAATAAGAGAAACTTAGACCTCTCCTCCATCTGTCCTCATCCTTCTGGACCGTTCTGCTGCCTTTGACGAAGTAAACCACCAGATGCTTATCTCCTTCCTTCAGGAACTTCGGTCACTAGGTGTAACTGGAGGACACGGAAAACAAACCAGTACACTGGTTCCCGTTCACATTCTTAACTCAACCAACTCAAGTTAAGCAACAAAACCTTTATTTAAACAGGTTAGTCTCATTGAGATATTTTCCAACGAGATCCATAAAAAACATCTGCAATACGTAAAACATACCGTGTTTAATATTTTGAACATTTAAAACAAAGAAAAGGAGGAAAAGGGATAACGAAAGTAAAAGCTCATGTTGTTTGATGTCATAAGATCGTGAGGAGGAGACTGTAGAGGAGGAGAGATTACTTATTTGCTCAAGTGAAAGTAAAGTTGGTGTGAGCGACGCAGAGCTGCAGTCCAGACGAGTCTCTCTGTTTCTCTCTAAAGAAACAACTGAATCCAGCAGCTTTTCATCAACAACACAACAGGATCTCTGACAAACTCTGGTGAGCACGCTGCTCTACAAAGACTAGATGTAATTAAAATGTGCTTTTAAAGAGAAATAAACACTTAAATAAACACGCTAAATAATAAGAAATAAGTATCAGAGACCAACAGGGCCCGCTAAAAGCTTACTAAAAGTTAAACGTATATTATCTGATTTTATCTTATGACTTGAATCCCCTATTACGGCTTCAATCTGACATTATACAAGCTGTTACATCATCCTTTGAACCTCAAAAATATCGACTGTGGTCAAACATCAGGGATTAACATGAAACCTCAGAACTACTCGGACAGGAATTCCACTCGACCGATGTTTAGCTGAGAAACGATGTAATGATAAATGCATAATGTGCTAAAACATCTCATTCATAAAGGGCGTAGGCTCTGTGAAACAAAAAGTGTTTGTGAGAACAAAAGACGGAAACAGAAAGTACAAGTTGGACTGGTGGAGCCGGATGAGCCTCCTCTTTGCTTCTGTACACACCCACATTCAATGAATGAAGAGCAGGTCTTTGATTTTAAGAAGTTTAGCCTACTTTGAAAATGTATTTTCCTCTCTTAAGGATGTAAGACGCAGAGTAGCAGAACTATTGAAATATTTAATGTGCAATGTGACAGAAATGGAGGCGTCACTTTGTGTTTTGGGGTTTAACATTATTTCTGTTTAGATTATGATCCAAACAATAACCAGATGAGTTTGGATGTTATCACTGCGATGCTGAAGACACCACATTGGTCCATCAACAGTAGATTCATGTTCCTAGTTGATACTATTTGTTCAACTAAACGTGTTACTTATTGCAGATCCAGATTTACTCAAACCATAATAAACACTTAATGATGCATTATTGTCGATTAAAACTAATCCAACATCAGTTTAGAATTGAATCTCCACATTGAACTGACTTACAGTAACTTGAAGCACATCATGCTGATGATGCCTTTTCTTCTTCTCTCCACTTCATTTAATGCACTTTCACTTTGAGCTTCTTGGAGGTTTTAATGTTGGCTCTTAAAGGAGTAAACGTTTTATTTGTGTCTCATTTGTTGTCCTCAGAGTGTCGATATGTCTGCTGCCAGCTGTCTGCAGACTGAAGATCAGTTCCTGTGCTCCATCTGTCTGGACGTGTTCACTCATCCAGTCACCATACCATGTGGACACAACTTCTGTAAAGCCTGCATCACTGACCACTGGAACGTTAATGCCCCGTCTAACTGTCCCAACTGTAAAAAGCTTTTCTACACCAGACCTGAGCTGCAGGTCAACACGTTCATCTCTGAGATGGCTGCTCAGTTCAGACTGTCAGCTCAACAGAAAGCCAGCAGCAGCAGCTCAGAGCAACAAGCTGCCCAACCAGGAGAAGTTCCCTGTGACGTCTGCACTGGAACCAAAGTGAAGGCCCTCAAGTCCTGCCTGGTGTGTCTGGTCTCCTACTGTGAGGCTCACCTGGAGCCTCACCTGACTACGTCAGGTCTGAAGAAACATCAGCTGATGGACCCTGTGGAGAACCTGGAAGGCAGGATGTGTACGAAGCACGATAAACTGCTGGAGCTGTTCTGTAAGACCGACCAGATGTGTGTCTGCATGCTCTGCACTGTTTTAGACCACAAGAACCACGAGTATGTTCCTCTGAGAGAAGAATATGAAGGAAAGAAGGCCGAGCTGGGGAAGACTGAGGCTGAAGTCCAGCAGATGATCCAGAAGAGACGACTGAAGATTCAGGAGATCAAACACTCAGTGGAGCTCAGTGAGGAAGCAGCAGACAAAGAGGTAGCAGAAGGTGTCCTGGTCTTCAGCGCTCTGAAGGAGTCTGTTGAGAGAAGCCAGGCGGAGCTCTTCGACACCATCAAAGAGAAGCAGAGAAAGACACAGAAACAGGCTGAAGGCTTCATCAAAGAGCTGGAACAGGAGATCTCTGAGCTGAAGAAGAGAAGCACTGAGGTGGAGCAGCTCTCACGCTCTGAAGACCACCTCCACCTCCTCCAGAGCTTCAGGACCCTGAACACTGCTCCACCCACCAAGGACTGGACAGGAGTCAGAGTCAGTGCACCTTCATATGAGGGGACTGTGGTGAGAGCTGTGCATCAGCTGGAGAAGAAGCTCAGTAAACAGATGAAGAAGCTGCTGGAGGTCGAGCTGAAGAGAGTCCAGCAGTCTGCAGTGGATGTGACACTTGATCCTGATACAGCACATCCTCAACTCATCCTGTCTGATGATGGAAAACAAGTTAAACATGGAGATGTAAAGAAGAATCTTCCAGACAATCCAGAGAGATTTAATCAGTGTGTTCTTGTTTTAGGAAAGCAGAGTTTCTCTTCAGGTAGATTTTACTACGAGGTTCAGGTTAAAGGGAAGACCGAGTGGGATTTAGGAGTGGTGAGAGAGTCCATCAACAGGAAGGGAAACATCTCAGCGTCTCCTCAGAATGGTTACTGGATGATATGTTTGAGGAATGAGAATAGTTACTCTGCTTTTGCTAGACCACCAGTCGATCTCTCTCTGGAGTCCTGGCCTGAGAAGGTGGGGGTGTTTGTGGATTATGAGGAGGGTCTGGTCTCCTTTTATGACGTTGGTGCTGCAGCTCTGATCTACTCCTTTACTGACTGCTGCTTCACTGAGAAACTCTACCCATTCTTTGGTCCATCTCTTAATAATAATGGTACAAACTCTGCTCCTCTGATCATCTCTGCTGTCAATCACACTGAGTAGAACAAAAGGTTTTAACTTAACATTTTAATAATTTTTTGACGTCACAGCTGAAAAACCCTTTTCTCTTTTCTATCACATGTCAACTTTGACGGGACAATCACGTCCTTCAAACCTTCTAAAGCTCCACAGAAATGGAGTGAAAAGACAAAACCTTTGATAAAGTCCAGGAGATAAATTGAACGTTGCTGTTTATGAACAGAGATGGAAGCTGTCAGACAACTGATGATCTTTTCGTGAACTGGATGCTTTATAATTGTTAATCAATGATTATGTCATAAAGAGAAACGGGCCTCGAGTTAATTTCCTGTTTGTTGATCATCTGTCCTGTGAATCAGAGAGGAACCTTTTAATTTCTCACAGAAAGATTCTCAATCATTTCTTGAAATAAGTGAGTATGTATTGCTCAGTGTTTCCATTGGTGTTTTTATGATTATGATGATTAACTTTTTTTTCTCTGTTTTTCGCTCATGCGTCACATTTGCTATTTGTTACAACACAACAGCAGCAGCAGAGAGGACTTTAATATCTTGATGTTCAGTGTTTGCATTGATAGGACTTGATCTCAGCTGCAACATTAACATAAAGATAATAAAACAATTAACTAACACAAATTTGCTATTAACTCTTTAAAGCCCAGGCTTAAACATGTTGTATTATTCCTAAATCTGATCTGCTCAATTCCCCTTGACCTCCATGTTAAAATGAACAACGTTACAGCAGAAATAAACATGTTTATATGGCAACAAAACAACCTCTGTGGTCTGAATAAATGAACAGTGAATCCTCTACGCGCCTCCTCCTGTGCTCACTGTTACCTATTTGTTAAGTAAAAACAGAATTAAAGATGCCGACTTTTGACTAAAATACCAAACTTTAGACTTAAAAAGTCAAAACTCCACTTCTTATATCCAGACTACGTGGCTCTGTCATCTCTGAGACCACGTCTGTGTTGTAATCGGGCTCATGGGCTTCCTGCAGTCAACAGTAGACACATTTAGCTTCTTGTAGTTCAAACACCTGCAGAAACAAACCAAACTTGGACTTGTTTGAGTGCCGAGGTGCATCCACGTCATTTCCCCCAAACGCCCCTGGTGGAATAAGGACCCGGAGTTGAACCATCAGGTTCCAGCAGCAGTGTCTTTGTGGAAGAAGCCGTGGATCTGCTGAGCCGCAGCCTGACCCACGATGGGCTCTAGCTGGGCGGGGGCGGCGTTGCAGAGCTGCTGGATGCTGGAGAACCGCTCCAGGAGGGCCAGAGCTTTGACCCGGCCGACCCCGGGGACATGCTGCACCAGAGCCAGGACCAGCGGGTCCAACAGCCGGGACGAGGTCCTCCTCCTGAAGGGGTTCTCTCTGCCGACCCCATGGACCTGAGATGGTGGGACAGTCAGCGTTAGACCCTAGAAATGTAAACAACAGGCCGCTGATAGGAGGACTGCTGTCAGAGTCCAGACGCATTCCTGCTCAAACCCACGACTACACCTGATAAATTATTAAACATTATTACGTCTTAGGGAAGGGTTTCTATTTGAACAGCAGAGCTTTTCTAAAAGTCACATGGCTGGAAACCCACAGAAATAATGTAATACTTTAAAATGATCCCATGGGACGCTGATCAGCCAATCAAATCTTGGCTGTCAGATAAGCGTTGCGTCTCGAGTCAGTAAGTAAGACGCACACGGAGAAAGTCGAACAAATGAAACCGCCATCCGTCCCGAGTACTCACGATCTGCGCGATGAGCTGCGAGGCCTCGGCCTGCCCGCCGACTGGCAACAGGGTCAGGCCGAGGTCAAACACCACCAACTTCTGCATGGCGCCGAAGTACTGCTCACTCAGTCGGGTTTTCTCCACCAGAACCAGCTCCTGGAAGCCGTGGCTGCTGGTCTTTAAAGAAGAAGTGGGGGAGGGGCAAGTTCACATCGGTAGAAACAAACCACTACGTCTCGTTCCCCAAACTTACATTTCTGTAGCGGACCAATTTCCTCTTGTAGCCGTTTCCAGCCACCACGTCGCACTCGGACACGTACAGCACGCAGCTCTTGTTGGGCAGGTGGAAATCTGCCAAGCCGAGCTCGTCCTCGAAGAGGATCCTCACGCCGCCGCCTGCAGCAGAAGCCAAAGCCTGTCAGTGACAATGGAGACTGGAAACGGATGAGAAAACACTGTTGTCCTTTCTGCAGGGACATGCTGTATTTGACGAGACAATGATAAACCTCTTTGACAGCATCACGTACCAGTTAAAGCCCATTTTAAATAATGCGAAGCAGAAACAAGGGGTGTGCTGCATCAAACTTATGTTTATGGTGAAAAGGCTCCTTAGGGAGGGTCTGCTGTTCGCAGACGAAATGAAACGGTGCAGGGTGGCAAATAATGAGGACTTTTACTGTTGATTAATCAAACTATTATCGACTTATTATATTTACACATTTTAGTGAGCGTTTGCCTTTCATGCCGATACCCAATCCAAAACGTATGCAACGCTATTTAGTCTAATTATTTAAAATATATAAAACGCCTCCTGTTGCCATATCAACCGTCACTTCTGTAAATGTTTTCTAACCCGGAAGTAAGTAGCAGTGCGATGCGTCGTGATTATAGTTATTAATACATTATTAGGCCATTTTTTATCAATGGCACGTGAGCCGATTTGAAGAGTGGCGGTATTAGAAGAATCCCAGGTATACGGTTACAGTTTTATATCATATAACTACTGGATTTGTCTGGATTTCATCAAAATTATCTTACATTTCGATCGTCGATTCTGATTCTGGGCGGGGCTGGAGTCCATCCCAGCCAAATTCGGGCGATAGACAGGGTTCATCCTGGACTGGTCGCCAGCCAATAACAGGGCTACACAGAGACACACTCACATCCACACACCTACGGGCAATTTAGAGTCCCCAATTAACCTGATCCCCAGAGCATGTCTTTGGACTGTGGGAGGAAGCAGGAGAACCCGGAGAGAACCCACGCAGACACGGGGAGAACATGCAGACTCCACACAGAAAGGCCACTGGGCGGAGTCCAACCCAGGACCTTCTTGCTGTGAGGCGACAGTGCTAACCACCACGCCACCGTGCTATGGCGTTATATTTGTGCCACAATCATGAGCGCGTAATTTTAAGTTTTGAGCACAGACACCTAGATTTGAGCATCGCGTCACATGCTGTGCGCGCAATTTAATGATGTTGCCCTCTGTACACACTGCCAGCCCACAGTTTTGCTTAGGGCACCTGAGTAACCTGCGCGCACGGGATGTTTTTCTTTGCTAAAATATAGTTTTCTGTGCTCAAAACTTAAAATTACGCGCTCAGGATTGTGGCACAAATATAACGCCATACCGTGCCGCCCTCACAATTTTGTCTAAATGGAAAAAAATAAAACACTTTTGCCAACCTGGTTGTTGTTGGGCGTTGGTATGTGGAACTTTTGTGATTCATAAATAACAAAAATAATTACCCTTTAAGCTCTGAATGAGGGGCGAGTTTCTCCATTTCTCGGTGGCAAAAACGTGTCCGTACGGAGGAACCGCATTCAGCACCGCTTTGGTCTCCATGGGGTTAAATATAAAAGGTCAAATAGTGACGCTACGATTAGATATAAAAGCACACAAACCCATGGCGCTCACGTCACAAATGCCTCGTTCTGTTGCCTGTATTGTCTCCCAAACGGCCAAATCTCTTCTTCGTCTGCAGAGCGTTAGTGTAGTTGAGGAGCACACGTTTCTAGGTTTCCCCCTGCAGGCGGACATCGGAAACACACCCTCCTCGAACTAGTTACCTAGTGCTCAAATACAGTTGAAAAGTGATGGAACGTAGAGTAAAGTTCATTTAAGGCTGGCGCGTGCTTCTGGGTCTTTACGCACCGTCGTGTCGACGCACTCGTTTCAATCCATGGTCTTGCGTGTGTCTTGCGTGTGTTGCAGAGCAATTCACCTCCAGAACAACAGGTGGAGTAACGTGTTTTGTTGAAGACGACCTGGAGAGTCACGTCTTTGTGTGTGCAAGTCGTTGGTTTGCAGTGATCTCCCTCCGTGAATCAGAGGCCATCCGCGCATCCTTATAGTCCGCCAATGACGGCTTGTAGATGGTCATATTTACGCATTTCTTCCGACAAAAGCTCTTCAATCTGATCTGTTCTCTCGTAAAAAATCTTCGTTTTAATAATGACGGACTGTGCTATGAAAACAGAAATGTGAGACTGTAAAGGATGTAGGTAGCAAACTGTGGCATCGCCTACACCAGCGTCACGGAGGCACGTATCAAAATTGATATAGACTTGCTCGTGTGTTTCTGTTACTTCTGAATAAAAATAAATACAATGTCCTCTGTCCTGTACATCAATGTCCAAGTTCCACAAGCATATTCAGTCCCCTCTTCCTAGTTCCACATGCACTGTCCTCTGCCTGCTTAAGCTCATGCCATTTTCCTAAAGTGACAGAATAACATTATTACACAACCTGCCATATCATATGATACCACCATTTTGGGAAAATGTACACACACAGAATACATTAAACATTTTATTATGCACATATGTGATAATTTATGTACAGAAATGATTTGGTCATACATTTTTGTAATTCAGTCATTCCCAACAGCCGTAACAGACACAAAAATTCAATGCATCCATTACGTGGTTCAGATACAGCTGCCTGTGATTATACACTTGGCCAGTAGGTGGTTTCGTGTGCACATGAAGCTTCCAGAAATGAACCCTTCATCGAACCAATTGGCTGAAGTGGTTCGATGCCTCATCGCACCATCACTCCTTTACGGATTCTCACATTTCCGGTTTCATACCACAATACCGCCAGTATTAAAACGAAGAATGTTTACGAGAGAATGAATCAGATTGAAGCGCTTTTGTCGGAATAAATGCGTAAATATGACGGCTTATACAAGCAGTCATTGGCGGACAATAAGGACGCGCGGTTTGCCGGTCGAGGGGAACAAAGTTGTGGAGGAAAATACGGGACAAATGTGTCCTTGATGAAAAGCAGCAGTGGCGATGCACGAGGCAATAAAGTCTATGATAAATAAATAAACAAACCAACGACTTCCACACACAAAGACGTGACTCTCTAGGTCGTCTTCAACAAAACACGTTACTCCACCTGTTGTTCTGGCGGTGAATTGCTCTGCAACACACGCAAGACTTTTAGAACCATGAATTGAAACGAGTGCGTCGACACGACGGTGCGCAAAGACGCAGACGCACGCGCCAGCCTTGAGTCACAGGTGCTAAACGAGGACCACTAATTAGCGTTCATTTTACAATTTTTATGTATTTCCGCTTTGTTGGGTTATTCAGCTAACTTTTAAAATTCGAGATCGGCTTCTAGACATTTGTTTGAGTTGTTCAGCGATTAGCCAACTAAGTTAAAGTTAACTTTAAACGTTATTTCCGCTTCTAGGCTTTTCTCTGCGTTTCTCTGCGCTGGTCAGCTAACGTTAACTAGCGGTTGTCTTACAGAGGAAGCCGCTCACACCATGGTGAACATCTCCATTCTGAGGGTGGGTATCCCGTTAACGGTAACTTAGGCGGAGTGTTTAATGGTTAGTAGTTGGTTTCAGTAACATTATCGTCGCCATGATGCAATTAGCAACAATGTAACCATATTTGCGGGGTTCGGCATGTTTTTAATTCCTGCCCATTTCAAACTTCTTGTCCTTGCCCGTTGCACCACAAGGCTTTTAGTTTTGTTGTTGCTCTTTGACTCAAAGACCGGTGTGGTAGTTGACTGATGCCTGATGTTAAATGTTGAGTTTTTGTTTAGTAACCGTATTGTCACTGCTTTGCCATAACTATCAGGATGCCCCAAATGCCTCTGCTGGTGTTAAATGTTTCATTGTTTCCTGTGACCGGTTGAGTGGGAACCAAACAAGGATTGTAGGACTGGAGATTACGTGAACGGAGTGTTAACCTGTAAAGTTGGACCCAGTTCTGGTGCCTGCTTTGTAACCTCTATGCCTGTGCAGGTCGAGAGCCCGTCCTGCATCTGGGGTCGGTTTGTGCAGGATCCCGGCAGTGGCACAGACCAGTACGACCGACTGCAGGCCCAGATGAACCTCTTCTACAAGGACGTGACTCAGGACCTGCGCCATCTGAAGCCCACCTCGTTGGAGGAGGGACAGGTAACGCAGCACCTGTGGTCCGCCGTCTCCCTCAGTTCTTACACGCCCGACTCGGGTGCGGAGTCTGACCCTGGGGCACATTGTTTTCATTTGTGTGTGTGTGTGGCTGGGATTCCTCTCAGGTGTGTGTGGTGTACTGGTCGTGGATGAAGTCCTGGTGTCGGGCCGTGGTGGAGTCGATCGTGATGGACTCCGTGTCCTCTCAGGCTCGCTGCCTCCTGGTGGACCAAGGAGAGCAGCTTATTGTCCCCTCAGACCAGTAAGCCCGGATCAGTCCTCCACAGCACCACCGCCATTTAACCAAAGTAGTCCACACACAAGCCTATTTGTAGGGTTGTCCTCAACCAAAGAAATTCTCTGTTTGCTGACTAACTGTTTCTGAGCACCGGTGTCTTTTTTCCAATTTTCCTCACGGGGACAGAGTGCATGCGGCGTCTACAGAAGATGCGTCACCAACGGCATCTTTATTTTCTGAGCGCTCTGCCGCTTTGTCTTAAACTTTTCGCTGCATCGCTGCATCGCTGTCGACGTTGTTTTCCCCGTGTCTGTCAATCGTGAACTTCGGACACCGTTATGACAAACACCATAACATGCTTTTGAGTGAGCGGAGCGGTCGGGTGGACACTGAATGCTGCTGCTATATATTATAGATTGAGACCAACACAGTTGATTATTTGACTAGTGAACTACGCAGAAGCCACACTTTTATTACTATAAGACATTTAATTACACTCCAGGTCTATTTATTCAAAACATGTTGGGATTTGAAATAAATTAATTTGAAGGTATAAGTGCAATAAGAGACTGAGTGAAAGATTTTACGTTTGTGTGGTTGTGCTTTCTGATTTTTAACTTTTGTTTGTCGTCTGTGTCATCACAGTCAGATTAAACATGAGGAGTCACACTGACCCGTTACAGACAAGTGCATTTGTAATACTGGATCGTCATTACTGTCAGGATTTAGAGCCGATTACTCATTCTTGGCCCTGGAGACGGCAACAACAGTTGGATTTTGGTTCCTCCTAGAGTCCGTAGCTGTGGTCCGTTAAACGACTGCATCCACTGACGTCTGCCCTGCCGCTTGTTTTCAGCTCTTTCTCCGGGCTTTGATTCTGTGGAACATCCTGCGGCTCCCTCCACGCCTCAGGTTAGCAGCTCTGCTCACAGTCCATTCTCCGGTAAATACCCACACACACCCTGACCTCTCGCCTGCATCAGAAACCACAACATGAGCCACAGACCTCTGAAGGAGGCACCGGGTCAAAGGTCACGCAGGAACAGAACCGCTCGGCCGCTGCGGAGAGGTGAGCGCAGTCCATTAGATAAGATTTGTCAATTTAATGTATTTATTTTTTGTTGTGAGGAGACACTATTGTTTGTTTATACAGTCGTCAATTTGAACAGTCAATGACACGTCATCAGCCAAAGTTACTATTACATCCTAATTTGCATATTTAACCATAACATTTGATAAAACCTGCAATTCAATTTAATGTGCCTCTTAATGTAGTGATTATGGATGGGTATTGTTTTTTGTTTCTTTTCCGATACCGGTGCTAAACCTTTTTTAAAACAATACCAGTGCCTGAACCACAGTGAATGTAGGAGCCATACATTGGGTTTGATTATTCTTTTGTATTATTTCTTCTTTCCTTCTACATTGTTGGTATGTGCGCGTATGGTGTGACGTCATTTGTATCTACGACACCGTAAGGGGGTGTGGTGTGTGTATATATAAGCGTGTGTCTGTTCACCTGTGGGGCTCGGCGGGTTGTTTGGAGCATGTCTGCAGGGTGAGCATGGGTAACAAACGTTCTTTTGACCGTTACTGGAGTAATTATTGTCACTAACGTCACTACGAAGTTTTATGCGCTGTTGATCCTCTTGACTGATGAAAGGCATCTATCAATGTAAGTGATTGGTGTGTATTCTTTCTGCTGGTGAAAGGGAGTAATAAACATCAGATGAAATACTTCAGTGCGACGCGTCTTAAGTATAATCTCCTCATGTCTTAGCCTGCTGCGGCTTTTGGATAGTTTTTGTTGTGTATAAGCCGCTACAGTGATTGTTTCACTCTGCTCAGGCACCGAAAGGAAGTTTCCTGTTTTATGCGGCAAATCACTGTCAAAATTCGAGAGCGCAAATCAGGTTTGTTACGAGCTGGACGCATTGCTCTTAATGTGCCAGTAATGATGGTAAATGATGGTTTAGCTGGTTGTCATCTACGGTCCACTACGATTACCAAAGGGGAGCGTTTGTTTTTTGACAACGTTTTTTCTCATAATTTCGACTTTCCATCCCCTTTCTTTAGTGCGGAAATGGGCTTCTATAGTTGTGTGAATGCATCGCTCCAGACAATCCAAAGACGGGGTTTGTAACCAATCCGATGTAGAGACCATGGTGACTGGCTCCGCCCCCTTACTGTCAGAAAGAAAAACAGCGAGCGCGAGCAGAGACTAACCTCGCGAGCGAGGAAGTTCACGTCTCGCGCGAGACGGAGATTTGCGCGAGCGAGGCGGAGATTTGCGCGCGTGCATCAACCTGAGTGAATTGGTAACAGGGTGAGTGATGGTTTCAATAATTTTAATATTTTCTGGTTTATCCAAGTGAAGTTACCCAGGAGCTTTGTTGACATAGACTTGGCTAATGTTAGCTACAGCTTGATGAGTTCAGTCATTTAACACCGCAGGAGAGAACGCAACGTTGGCCAGCTAGCTAAAGCCCCGGTGGGAAATGATTAGCTGCGACCGTTGTTGAGGAGGTAGATTTTTATGGCGTTATATTTGTGCCACAATCCTGAGCGCGTAAAAGTTTTGAGCACAGAGAACTATATTTTAGCAAAGAAAAACATTCCGTGCGCGCAGTTTACTCAGGTGCCCTCTCCACAAACTGGTTTTCTGCGCGCAGGAAGCGGTTGCTGCGCTCGCTCCACCTCTTCACTCACGCGCTCGCTCGACTTGCAGCAGCGTTACATTTGTGCCACAAAACCAACCAATCAGAGAATTAAAGGTCAATTGCGATTGGCTGTTGGTCTCCAATCACAACGCTTCCTAAAGAAGACGAAAACGAGTGATATTAGAAGTCCGGCTAGCCACCATCAGACATGACCGAAGCAAATGATGAGAACAGCAAGTGTTTTAATCCAGGCCATTAGCATTTAGCACAAATGCTGCAAACTTCAACAACTCGCTGAGTTGTGTGTTTTTTTTTTTGTGCTAGCGTCTCGAGGTCAGCAGAGAGGACGCGGAGGAACGAAGAGGAGTGGGCCTGTTCATGGTGAGCTGAGGAAGGAGTCTGGCAGTGTGAATCTCTTTATCGGGGGGGGGGGGGGGGGTAAAAAAAACGTGACACAAACTCCCTTCTCGATGCTGAAGACTGTTTTTGATTTGTAACTTGCTGCGTCCCGTTCAGCCTTTTGGAGTGGTTGAACCCGAAGCCCCCGATTGCCGACTCGGAGGCAGCAGACGACGCGGTACGTTTGTTTCTCTCTGCTTATCCTAAACTTCACAAACCAAAATGTATTTCCTCTTCATACAGCCGATGCTCCGAGTGTTCTTATGGTTGTTTGACCTGCTTTACTGAATCCACAAAATTAGAAAGGAAACGCTCTCCTCTTGTCCTGCAATGGTACTAAATTGATACAAAATGATTTCCTTGTTTTATGAATGAAAGGTAAACAGGTTAAAGCATCAAGGCGGTGCATGGTTAACCAATCGGGGACAGTCATCCTGGCAAACCCCTCCCTGAAACTTCCTGTAGTTAAAGATGGTAAGTGCATCTTTTGGGAGGTAAAATGCACATGGAACCTTATCTAGACTGGTAAACGCGTTAAGCTCCTCTAAAGCGTCCTTGTCTCTGGGGAGTAGAGCTTCACTCACATTGTTGAAGGTAGTGTTTATTTCAGCTGAGGCAACTCAGACTTCTAACATTAAAAAAATAAAATAAATAATGCAAGTAATTGACCAAAACGTTGTTTCCCCAGAGCTGCTGGATGTGCTGCAGAAGGAGCGTCGGCGATGGCAGAACTCAGCGGGGTTTATTATTTACTGTCTCGTATGTCTTCTGTCTCCATCTTCTCCTCCCTCACCTCAGGCACAGGGGTGAGAACATTAACCCATTGATTTTAGATTGTTCCGGCAGCGGCATGATTTGATTGACTGCTGTCATATCGTTGCTGGGGGCTTTAACTGTTGGTTCTAACCTCCAGCCCATAGTGGTGCTGTTGTGTCAAGGCTGGAAGAAAGCTCAGGTGGTCTACGGCCTGCTGGAGGACATGAAGGTGGCCCCGGTCCTCCACCCGGCCATCTTGCTGCTTGGCGTCGGCAAAGACGAGGCCAAGGCCGTCAAGATCCCCAAAGACTAAGTGGAGAACTGTCATCTCCGCACACTAGTGCTCCCCGCTAGAAATGATAAAATCCCACACAAAATGTATTGCTAATCCTCGTTGCACAGGCCTGCTCTTAGTGACCACTCCCTTCAGTCTGGTCCGTCTGCTGTCCAGCCACTGCTTCCTATTCCTGCGTCTCTACCACCTCGTGCTGGACGAGGCCGACTGGCTCTTCACTGTCGCCCCAGATCAGGTAACCGACTGCTCCTCGTTCTCACTCCAGTTTCTGAGCTACAGCGGCTAGTTTTTTTTTTTTTTTTTTTTTTAAACTGACGAATGTTCTTCGGAAAGATGGCAGCCATTTTGGAGCATTTCCAGAAGGAGGCGTCCAGCGAGGAGAAGGCTTCCTGTCCTCTGCAGCTCGTCGCCGCGGCAAGAAGGTGGACCGGTCACATGGAGGGTTTGGTAGCCAATTAAATGCCATACCCTTGCATTGTTGTGACTGTCCCTGAGGAAGCTGTTCTCTATGGTAACGTTCAGCAGGTCAGTGCCAATGACTCACAGCTTTATGTTGCCCCAAGTTGTAGTGCAGACTGATGCTCAACTGTAAGTTGGTTGTGTGATGAGATGCTCTGTTTAAAGGAGCTGTCGGTCTTCCTGCAGGTCGTCCTCATGACTCTGGGGAGCAGTAAGATCTCAGTGCTGTTGGGTGCGTTGGATTTCAACCCCGTCATCGGCCAGAAGACTGTGATTGTAGCAGACTCTGCTGAGGAGGTTGAAGACGTGTGGAAGGTGAAACCTGCCACACGTCTTCCTACTCATTTCACTCGCTCTTAATGAGCCAAGAGGTCGTTTCCTGCTGAGTAGAAAGCACAGAGTTGTCTTCACTGACAGTCATTGAAGACAAAACACTTCAGATCAGATACATTCTCACTAGATGGACTTCAGGTAACAATGATGGCAGCCAGACAGACGTTGTATACTTATTTAAGAACTGCGGTTATGCTGTACATTCCTTTGTTTTTAAATGAGTAAACCTACAGTATGAGTCATTCTACTGTCAGATACACTGTCTATAAAATTACCAGCTTTCTTTTTTTACTTGTAATATCAGAGCCTTGAAATAGCAATAATAACAACTAAGGATGTTTGCAATCTTCAGGCTATGAGCAGCAGGTCTGTATTCTGCCTCAAGACCCACGAGCGGTTAACACACAACTTTGACTTCGTCATCGAGCAGTGGGGGAACGCCATCGGCCCCAGAACCCACGTCATTCTGGGTAAACTACACATATTCACACGCACACACAATGTGGGTGAAACCTTTTATTACGCCTCATGGATCAATTCTATTGGTCACCTTTTTGTTTCTGGGTTTCACTAATATTTAACCATGAGTATTAAAAAGAGTTTGTGGCTACATCGTTGGCAAAACCTTAAATCTCTGCCCCATTTTAACTAGATTTTGTTGAAATATGAATAAAGAACACTTATTCTCTGAATTTTCTCCTGTGAACCCTTTGGTCATGCTGTATTTGACCTCTGCCCTCTAGTGACCACCACCCAGTGTCTGAAGTCCCTGGGAGTCAGAGACTCGTTGTGCGTCATCCACTACGGCTTCCCCGCGTCTCCCAAACTGTTCGGCGACCGGCTGTCCTGTATGGCCAAGAACTTCAGAAACCTCTCGGAGCGCGTGAGAGCTGATACCTGTGGAAGTGATCGATGCTAAAAGAAGACGTCTCGCATCAAAGTGTCCTCGTCTGCAGCCCGACAATGGGCCAGAGGACATTTGTGTTCACGCCTGTCTTTGTTCCTCCAGGGTTCCTCCGAGGACCAGCCTCGGCTCACCAGGTCGGTGCTGCTGATCTTTGAGAGGAACACCACTCACATGGTCGGAGTTGTGGGCTACCTGCAGCGAACCGTCACCCCGCTGCCCCCCGAGCTGCTGTCCTTCGTTCGGGGGGTCCAGTTGGCCCGGGAGGACCATAAGGCCGACAGGCCTCTATGCAGCTACTTCAAGAGCTTCGGAGTCTGCAGATGAGCTTTCCCACTTGTCTGATAAGATAAAAGATGATCCGCTGTATGGTTTCTCTTTCCATTTCTGTGCAGCGAGCTGATCGTTTAATCCTCACTTTGTAATCTAGACCAGAACACAGAAGCTTTATTTCCTTATTATTTATTTGCATATTTTCTCATCAGAGTATGAAAACAAGGAGACCGGCTTAAAGGCTTACGAGTGGAAACGTTATTTTATTACGACTTCAACTGGAGGGTTTGTTTGTTATTCATGTTGTCATGTCACATCCTCAATTCTATGTTTTACTACAGCAAGAATTTAATCTATTTTACTTTAAAGTTAAAGTAACGCCATACATCGCAGACCTTTTTTTTTTTTTTTTATAATATTGAATGAATAAAAGACCATGAATGTAAATTTATGTGTGATATATATATATATAATTATTGATTATATATATATAATCAATCACACTTTGACTATAAAATGGCTTAAATGCTATAATGTGAGAAAGAATCTGCTCTTTGAATAAAGCTTGTAGGATCTGTGTATTCTGGTTGAATAATTCAAATAATAATTTGATTGAATAAAAGAATCCTTCTGGTTAAAATTAAAATGTGATTTCCTGTGTTTGCGTCTGCAGAGACCGCAGCGTGTGTCCCAACCGTCACAGATTCATCACCAAGCTGGACGAGTCGCTGCTTCCTTCCTCGGGACTCAAAGAGGTCTCTGTTCTTATCTTTGATTTAAATAATTAGGCTTCAACTGTCCAGGATCCTGACGTGAAGGACAAGATGGCTGTGGCAAGATGGGATGTTAATCCTCCGAAAACGTTTGACATAATAATGTTGAAGCTACCATACCGCTGCTCACAAATGTAGAACGTTGCATCTGATGTTGGCAGGTCTTGCCTCTGCATGTCAAGACGGCATCGGTGTTCTACGGCCGCCTGGTGGAGGAGGGCCGAGGAGGCTTCCAGAGCTTGGCGGCAGAGATGTCGGCTTTCTACGCCGACAAGAAACCCGGAGCTGAGGAGGTGCTGCAGGGCGGCCTGTACGCTGTCCAGGAGGACGAAGTCTTCCACAGGTCTGTCGTCCAAACACAAAGAACTTTGGTCACAAATGCAGCTGAGCTCGTTGTAACTCGAGCACCAGTCACAGCTGCTCCGTCCGAAAGAATCTGGCTTAAAATGTTCCTGAAGCTCACAGGGTCCAGAACCTTTTGAAGGCCATTCGCTCAAACCACTCCAGGTTCTAGGAGTGACCGACTGTGTTTGTGATGTGACTTCATATGTCTGCTGACCTTTAACCCTGCAGGAGGACAAAGGTTTTATTTAAAGGGCCGTGATCCAAGGCCCAGATGTTCATTGTATGCAAGTCTGACTCCAGCTTTTTTTTTTACACTGGTTTATAACTGTTTATTGCAGGGTGGAGGTCCTGTCCCCCCCCCCCCACCCCCAGAGCCGACCAGCTGTTCTTTTCCGTCTTCGTTCGGTTTATCGACGTGGGAAACAAGGAGGAGGTCAAATCCCATCAGGTCCTCCAGCTGCCGGAGCGGTTCTGCTCTTTGCCCGGCCAGGCCGTGGAGATGGTGGTCTGCCGGGTCAACCCGAGCGACGGCGAGATCGACTGGCACCCCGAGGTCTGTGACACCCCCCCCCCTTTAGTGCCTCCTACTGTCCTGGTGGTTTAAACATGTTATTGGACCCCGGTTCATCGCTCAGGTCACCAGAGCGATCAGCCAGAAGATCCAAGGCCTGCAGCACCGAGCCAGAGCCGTGTTCAGTCTGGGAAACACCGTGTTTGTTGATGCCATGGTGAGCTCATCCAGTTACTGATTCGCACATTTATCTCAACTCTGAAGCTTGGTTTGCACTTCTGCTACCACTTTGGCCTCGATTCTTAACCTTCCAACGCGTGTAAATTCAGTACTCTGAGGCACAAATCATTGATTTTATTCTGTATCCCATAAGATATTACAACACCAAGAAAAAAACGGGATTTAAAAGTTTTAACTTTGTTTTTTGTTCAAAGTAATTAGTGCAGTTATCTTAAGACTACTGTGACCTTCTCCTGAGGTCACACACACGTATGAAGCCGACATGTTGACTCATGATCTTCACGTGGGGCTTTCTAGTGGTTCCGAAGTCTAGGCTCCGAACTAAAAGGTGTCTTTGCCATCAGGACCACCACATGGTCTTTTTACTGCATTAATGCTTTTGATTTTATATTGCTACAGTCGTTCACATTTTTAGCTCGAGACATTCGTTTAAATAAACGCACAAAAAAATTTCTAGCATCTCAAAAAATGTGATTATAAAGACATTTTTTGCGATCAGATTTCCATCTTGTAGCAAAGAGGAACAAGTACGTGGGACTGCACTGTTTTGGTTCCGTTGGCAGAAGAGAAATGATTATTAAATGTGTTTTTCCCCTCAGGTCCTTCTGACTCAGGTTCCGGGTATGAAAACTGTGATCAATGAATACAGCGTGCAGGCGGAGATCCTGAACACTGGGATGGGAGTCACCAACCAGGAGCACCTGAACCTGCTGCGGGCGCTCCGCCGGGACGCCGAGGAGGCGGGTCACGCATCAGAGTAAGCAAACACCAGAGCGGCGGGTCCACAATGCGCTGGCCTCCGTTACTGTGACGAATGAAGCACGGCTCTCTTGTCCGCAGGTCTGATGACGCGCCACCGTCTCTGGCGGTCGGGATCGAGGCTGAGGTGGAGGTTCTGGCCGGAGCCTTCAGAGCGGCCGAGGTCGACCCGCTCGCTGAGCTTTCTCCCCTCGAGCTGATCCCGGTGTGTGGTCAGACACCCCCGCGCGACGGCCGGGCCGCCGTCGGACAGAAAAGCCTCCACACGGCTGATCTGAAGTCTGCTGAGCAGACCACGAGGTCAGCAGCGTAAATATATACAATACTAAAATCAATTAGATAAAACATCACAAACATGTTCCACAGTCGGTCAACCGGCAGCGGTCTCGCCAACCAGCACAACTTTATTCATGTATCATCTACTACATACTTCCATATTAGCTTTGGATCCATCAATACAAGATGATAAATGGTGGGCATTGCCCTTTATCATCAATTAATCATGAGCAATATTAATACAACTTGTATGTTTGCGTCACAGGATCCAAAATGTAAGAGAACCTCCTGCTGCTCATCTCAGCAAAGGTAAAAAATAATATAATAGTCTAACTTTAGATGGTGAGACCGACATCGTTGTTTGGCTTCTCACTCCACAAGAGAGGCCGTTCCATTCGTCATGATCACATAAAGGAGATGACGCGTCACTGCTTCTGTACCCAGAAAAATGAAATGTGACAACATAGGAGAGGAGCATTCTGTTTAGTGATGATCTCCGTGTTCCTGCAGGTGAACATCAAAGCGACTGCACCAACGAGGAAGACTCTGGTGACCCCCCCAAAATGTACAAAGTGGATATTCAAATAAACGTCCTTCGTCATCGCTCGTGGCAACGTCCGATGTTATACCTTATGGCGTCATGTTCTTTTAAATGTCCCGTCATAGTTTTCCTACTCTCTTTGATATTTGTTTTCTGACAATAAAGATGTAGTTAAACTAAATCTGCACACATTACGTCTGCGTTTAATCTCCCTGTGACTCGTTCAGTTTCCACCCCCTTGCCCACTGGTACCAGACGTCCCGCTTTGCCATTGTGACGGTAAAGCTGAGGAACCCGGAGAACCATTGCTGTGACTTCTACCCCGACCGGGTGGTCTACAGGTCAGTCAGCAGCCCCCCCTCACCAGGCAGCCGCTATGCTGTGAATCAAACTAGCTCAGCGTATGCTTGGACTTCTTTCTTCTCCTGCCCCCCAACCGCCCACCCTCTCTATTGTGTTTAGTGCCAGAGCCGACGGTCGGACCTACAGAGCCGACCTGCAGCTTCATGGTGACGGCATTGCTGACCGCTGCTGCTGCTGGGAGATGAAGTCCAACGAGCCAGTCCTCCGACTGGTCAAACAGCAGCCGGGACACTGGGAGCGACTCCTGAGGAGCAAGGTACTGGGTCAGGCTCCACCACGGCCAGTACAGTCTTTGGACTCATGTTCTACTGTGTTTCCTCAGAACATCTTTGTGAGCTACGACACCGACCACATCGAAGAGGACGAAGACGGAACCCCAAACGGTGAGCAGCACACCCAACGGGGGGGAGGGGGCTGGAATTGAGTGACAGCGTGGGCTCTGAAGTCTGGAGTGACTTCCGTGCCTTTTGGGTCTCCAGGCCCGTGCTTCGTCGAGGACTTGGGAAAGGACAACTGGTACGTGAACCTGGAGAGTGGCAGTGAGAGCGACTGAAGATGAGACCGACGGGACAACACCCCCACTCCACTCGAGCCTTTGGAAAACAAGAAGGAAGAGTTTGGGGGTTGACAAAGGCGCGTAAAATGCCAGAAAGCGCGATAACGGTTATTGAAGAACATTCGGTGCAACTCGTTCAAACACTGTTATAAATATTACTGTTGTAATACAAACTCATGTAATGCCAAAGTTCAGGGCCTTGATTACTTATTAAAGACTAATTCAAAATATCATTTTTGTTTGTTTCTAAAAAGGTACTTTTTAATTGTAGTGTTTCCCCTACAATTATATCAGGAGGCAAGTGATGTTATAAACCGAAGGCAAACACTGAGTTAACTAATATTTCTTTTATACGGCTAATACATTTTACCTAAAGGCTATACTAATCTTTAATGAAAAAAGCTCTATAGGTCAGTGATTGAAGGTTGCCAGGTTGTGAGAAATCCCTCTGCTGGTGATTATTCTATTAGTAAATGATAAAGTAGTAATTCATTTGTTTCATACAATAAGCTGCTTGATTTGAGTTTGAACACCTTTTTTAGGTAATTAAATAAACCGTTTATTTGTACGTTCTGGGTTGCTGTAGAACAAGACACTTCCTGAGTAGAAATGAATAAAACAGAAATATGGAAAACACCAATGCAAAACAGCAGAAAAAATGTTGGTGTTATTTCTTTTTGTTGTGACGATGACCACAGGTGTTCTTAGCCCAACACAGCGCATCTGTCCTCGGGGCCATTTTGTTTTTTGGAGACACTAACACCTGTCTGTGATCGTCGCTTATTTAACGTTTTACTCCAGAGTCTCTCAGTTTTAGCTGATGCTTTTCAACAAAAATGAACTAAAAGACCTACTTGAATCAAGTAAGAGGTACAGAGAAAATGGAGGTGTTTGGACACCGTTATTCTGCATATGGATTTTGCTTACGCCAACTGGCCAAGGCCTTTGGCTGGCAATCAATTACTTTAATGTCTCGGCGAGATTGAATTTCTTTGGACACAGATATTTAACTTCTTATTCCATTTTCTGGCAGAAAGAACATTTCACTGGAATTTCTAGTAGAATCAGCAAACAATGCACCAAGATAAGTAAAACCAAGGTACAAACAAAAGCACTCTAAACGCACAATATGGTAACTGTTTTCTCACGATAATGTAATGCTCAACCAGAAAACTTACAAAGAAACGTTTTAATGTTGTCTACCAGAAAGGCTTACCAATTAAGAATACCTAAAAGTGACATTCCTTTGAGGATGCTGTACAAGGAATTGATTGGAGCAACTGTTTAACAGGTGCAAGTGTTGAAGATAGCAACATCATCTTATCCACAATACAGACCACAATTAATCGTTTCCTTTAAAGAAGCCAAAGTTAAAAGAACGCGCCATGGGTGAATAATGACATCTGGAATTTAATGAAAAAACGCGCACTGTGCATTTACTGGCACTCAAGTCTTCCACGCGATGTTGAAGAGGTTTTTATTAATGTAATTTTCTCACAGGAGGATCTGTGTTGAAATGTAAAATATCACCAGCCTTATAGTTGCTATAATTGTTTGACCTTCTATTTTTTGTGTTTCCTGTCCAGAAGAGCGTCTTCATAATAAGCTTGTTTGGCCCCTTTGAGACTGACGCTAGAGTTCAATTAAAACACGATGCCAACACTCTGAGGAACACCGGCTTTCAAAGTCGATTGTGTCCGATGTGAAGGGCCGACCTCTGTGTTCCCGTCTGGAGCCTTTTCACGTGCTGAAATAAGAGTTTCCCCGAGTCGACATGAGCAAAGTGAGCACCGTGAAAGGAGAGCTTCCATTGGGCGACTGGCTGGGTCTTGAGTCTGTGTGACACCATCAGGCCGCCACAAAAGAATAAAACCCAGAGGAAAGAAAGGAGGGTGTGTGATGGGGTGGGAGGGGGGGAATTAGAGAAACAGAAAGGGGGTCTGGCTTTAGAAAGTGGCCCAGCGCAGATTTACAGAGCTGGAGGATTAGGCTGCGGGTGTCTGACGTTCCCCGCCCTTTGTAAGCTACCGGCCGGCATGCCAACAAGGCTCAATGCACACCCGACAATGGTGCAGACCCCCCCACCCCCTCATAACGGCCCCCTCACCACCCCATCAGCAGCACCACCGGCCTCCGGCTCCCTCCTCACCCAGCGGATGTGACTAGGGAGCTAATGTCAGCCCGGGTCTCACTTGCGGACTGCGAGGTTAGCTTTGCCAAAAGGTTCAAGTTTATGCATTAAAATAAAGTAAATACGTTAGAATAAGTCTGTTTTTAGTCAACTCTCTCCATTAGAGGTCGACTCATTCCATTTAGCTCTGGAGCGTGAGAACAGCGTCACGAAGGGGACAGCGTTTTTGCTCTGTTACCAGTTGATTACAGCTGATTAGCAGAAGACCACTGAAGGTACGATGGATTGAAGGAGACGCAAATGAGACAGAAGTGCTAATAAACAGCATATTAATACAGCTTTTTTTCCTGTTGATGCACGAAGCGGCAATCTTTGATTATGAGGTTTATTGGATCTTCAAACTAAACAGGAGGCAACCTACATTCTCTGTAGTGACCAGCAGGGGGCGACTCCTCTGGTCCCAGAGAACATGAGAAAATGACTACTTCTCTTGATTTATTCCCTCGGTAACCATTTACACGTTAAATGGAAGTCTGAATGCGAATAACTTTTGATCGAACAGGAGCCTCACTCATGCGATGCACATCACTGCGCATCTCATGGCTGTCGACCGGTTTCTCCTTAATCACCTCCCACTTTTACACAATTTGTTTCGTTTTGCTGGCGCTATATATCTAAATATTCCATCCTGATCCCACACACATCATCCTAATTCATCACCCCGCGCTCAAGGGGAACGGGGGGGGGGGACAAGCGCATATTCTCACAGCGCATTGTGGGGAGGAATGCCATTGAATTTGGGTGTTTTTTTTTTCACGCGCCGGCCTCTTTTGTGTGCAGCCTAAGGAAGTGCATTGTGGGGGCAGACACCCTGAGAAAAGAGGCGAGCTCGGAGCCGTTGTCTTTGGCCGCTAAAGAAGACCTGAATGGAACTGGAACCATCGGAAGCAGCCGGCCCAGACCCAGAGACAAAGCCGCAGAGCGACTTTGAACACCAGCAACAATTAAAAGTGCAGCTTCTCCGTATCAATTATGCATTCGTGCTTTTGTCTTGGCTACTTTTTCTCTTCTTAAGGGGGGGGCGCGAGGGTTAAGACTCAACAGGTCTGAGCCAATCGAACAGGTCTGAGCCAATCGAGAGATTACAGTGAAAAAACTAACTTGGGGAAATTCATTGAGGGAGAATTGGGTGGATGTGAGATTCAAGGGCTAACGAACCCTACAGGAACTTGTGCCATGGAACACCCCGGTATTTACCAAAAAAACAACTTTGCTTCAATAAGAAAACAATATAACGTTGAATAAAAAAAAGATCAAGAGGTGGGCGAAACCCTTTGGGTTTCATCTTGCAGAGCACGTTGCTAGGAGACTCAGAGTTTCACTCTGCAGACTGTTTTTTTTTTTCTTCTTTTGAGCCCTTTTCCTGCTCCCTCCTCCCTTGGGACGCAGGAAGCAGCTCCGAAGGCATTGAGGTGAAGCCCTGCTGGCGGCGCTTCCGTCAGGTGGCTCTGTTGTCCTCCGAGTCTCCAGCAAGCGGCTCCTTTAGAGCCCAGTGGGAAGGTTTATTCACAAAAAGCCAACACTGGTTTGAAAAATTGCTCCTGTTGGGGGGGGGGGGGGGGCACTGAGACACACTGGTCAAATGTCTGGGTTTGGAGACATTTATCAACTGCTCATTAATGCAATCCTGATTAAATTATTTATCACGGTCTTTACAATAACCTGGCAATTTAGATGTTTTCAGCTCACCGTATGTAACTAACTAGCTAGCTAACCTGTGTGACCTCGCTTGACCAACCCATGTGACCAACCCGCGTGACCTCACCGTGACCAACCCGCGTGACCTCACCGTGACCAACCCGCGTGACCTCACCTATCCAACCCGTGTGACCAACCCGCGTGACCTCACCGTGACCAACCCGCGTGACCTCACCTATCCAACCCGTGTGACCAACCCGCGTGACCTCACCGTGACCAACCCGCGTGACCTCACCTATCCAACCCGTGTGACCAACCCGCGTGACCTCACCTATCCAACCCGTGTGACCAACCCGCGTGACCTTACCGTGACCAACCCGCGTGACCTCACTGTGACCAACCCGCGTGACCTCACCGTGACCAACCCGTAGCTGTGTCTCAGTCTTTCTAAGTCAGTAACGTTACAGAATAAATACACAAACTGAACTTGCTTTGCTCCTTTTGTTTTGTGGTGTGATTATAAACTAACTTTACGTTTAGTGTTGTATGGAGCAGGAGGAAGCATCAAGCTGAAGGAGAACAATGTGTGTGTATTGACACTGACACATTGAGTCTGTAGCGTGGACATATTCTGTAATATTTTACAGTTTAAATAGCTTGTATCCTATGCAAGAAAAAAAGAAAAAGTGCATACTAAAGCAATAAGGTACGTGATGCAGTACTTTATCGTCCAATAATGTAACAGTTCGGGGGTGTTGTTAGCAACCCTCGAACTGTTACATTACTGAAGATAAAGTTCTGCATCAAGTACCTTATTGCTTTTATAATACGGTTACCAGTGAAATTATAAATAGTAAGTAAATAGCTGCCTTTCACCACAAAATAGTTGTATCCACCAAACGTTGTGTATCTCGTTTCAGTAGTCTAGTAGTCTAAAAATTTAAAAAACGCATTGGGTCTCGCACCATCATTCATTCACATCGCCCATGACGTCCACCTTAATTGTCCGGTTGTGAAAGCTCGCATTGCCAAAAAACAACAATTTTTTCGGCGATCGCCACCGTGCTAAAAGCTAAAATGTCAACTAACGGTCACGGAAAATCTAACCTGTCAATTTGAGTGCGCAGTGATACGGAACGCTCGCGTCAATGTGAACAACAACTGTACATTAGCGCTCAATAATGCACACCCCGTGACTCACTCTCAACCAATCAGAACCTGTATTATACAACTTAATAAATGTGTTTGCTGTTGTGGTTTTTATTGACAACATTGATGAAATGTCCTCTGCCTTAAGATTGCAATATTACTTTTAGCTGAAAGTAATTATAAATTAGTAGAATATTATACATTAACTGATTTAAAATAACCGGAAAAGGCCTGAAATATATCATGCTCCGGAGG